CTTCATTCTTCTGCTGCTGCTCGGTGCCCTGCCTCCACTCTTCCGTCTTCTCTTTATATCTAATGTTCTATCTGTGATCATCTCTTCTCTTCTCCCCACTTCTTCCTCCTCTTTTGCTCTCTTCATTCCTCCTCTTTCTCTCTCCTACCCCTCTCCCAGCCTTCTCTCTCCACCTTCTCTGCTCTCCTTTGTATATCCCTCTATCTCTTCCACTCTCCCCCTTCTTACATCTCTCTCTTCCTCCCTTTCTTTCTTTCTTCTTTTCCCTCCTTCTCTCTCTTCTTCACTATCACTACGTCCTTTTGTTCTCCTCCCCTCCCCCTCTTTTTCTATCTCTTCTCCGTCTCTCTCTCTTGTTGTTCTCCATCTCTACCCACTCCCTCCCTCTTCTTCTCTTATCCCTCTTTCTCTCCTTCTCTCTTCCCCTCTCTTCCTTGTTCTCTCTCTCCTCTGTCTACATTCTCCCTATCTTTTCTCTCCTCTCTCTCTCTCTCTCTCTCTTGACCCCTTCTCCCTCCCTCCATCTCTCTCTCAACCCCTTCCTCCCATCTTCTTCTTCTCCTCCTTTCCTTCATCCCTCGCTCCTCTATCCCCCTTCTCTCTCTCTCTCTCTCTCGTTTTTGGAGGACTAAGATACCACAAAATAACGAGTGTAATGATGAATGGTTAGAGGAGGCCATAATGTGTAATTAATGTGTTTTAAATTGCTTTTTGTACCAAGGTAGGACCGACTTCTGGTAAACCAAATCTAAAACAATACTCACCCAAAACAGGACTGAATTTGAAAACTAAAGTAAACCTAACAACACTATAGTTTGTGAAGTAACGGAGTACATGTATCTGTATTCTGCTACAGTTACTTTTTCATTTGCTGGTATTCAGAATACAGTTACTTTCCTAAATTAAAAAGAATACATGCAACTTTGTCGTTGACTGCACAGTATTAGTTAGAAAAAAAGAAACCATAGTTCTTGTAGTGCGTGAATGAATTATTTTTCACCTCTAATTAGACATAAGGTCATGCAAAAAAAAAAAAAAAAAAAAAACTATATAAGTTGCAAAAATAAACCTATTTGCATTTATATCTCATGTTCTTTACACTATAATATAACTTGGTGTAAAAGTATTCTGAGTATTCACAATACAGGACTCTGATTGGCCCATGTAACAAAATACATTACAAAATGCAAGTTAATTTGGGTATTTGGTATTCTGTCACTAAAGTTTTCTTCCCGTCACTGTAAACTAATAAACCAGGACTAAAATGGGACAAAGGACTAGACCATAACTGAACCCACAACAACAGTGAGAGACCAGGCTGTACCATCAACAGCTTTTATTTCAATAAATAGAAAAAACAAGACAAGAGGTCTATCGGACTATTTTCAACACAAAACTAATATTTTCTCGGCAAATAGAACAAATGCACAAGATATTTGGCAAATCAACGAAAAAACATTCTTCAAAATGAAAATACTAAAGCTTATAATAATCAAATCAGAATATATTACACTTAGTTAGCTGGTTTAATGCTACATTAGTGGTTTCAGTGGTTAATATCAAGCAGCAGCAGTTTTAAAAATATAAAATAAAAACAGTTTTGTGGAGACGGCAAAATGAAGATGATATGTGTATTTGAGCTGCAGAGTCTGGTCTCAAATAAAACAACAAAGAGAGGAACTGGTCATACTCATTTGAAAAGCTTTGTTTTGGGGGAAAAAAAAAACAACAACTAAGGAATTAATGACCAAAATACATTATAGCCACACATTACAACCCCATCCTAAGAAATCTGATTTGTGAATTTCAAAAATATTAATATCGTATATTTGATAATGATTTGCCAATTTAAGTGTTTGCAAAAAGAAAAATATCTTGAATTTAAAGTATTTTTTTATTTAAAAGAAAATTTCCAACATGTATTTTTCATAACAAATAAAAAAAATAGTAATAATGAAAAAAAAAAAATTTAAGTTTAAAAAAAAAAAAGTACCTGTGATTAAACAATATTACATACTGGTAAAACACAATTTGAATAACTTAATAATGACCCATTCATTTTATTTTGATAAATGTGTATATATATATATATATATATATATATATATATATATATATATATATATATATATATATATATATATATATATATATTAGAATTGTTTATTGCTAATAAGATTTTTTTCCTCATCAACAAAGGTAAATATCTCTTCAATTAAAAAATTCAGTTTTGCAGATGTTATCAGAGAATTTTATAAAAAAAATAATAATAATAAAAAATTGACATTTTCAAGATAGAGTTTAAGTCCACCAAAACAAATCTGCTCTGCCACATTTAGCTGACAGAAACAGAAATAGCAGAGAAAAAAACAACCAAACAAAAAAACAACAGAATCCTTAGGTAAAAAGAACAGCACATTTGCGACAGAGGCCAACTCCAATTTCCAAATATTTCCTTACAGCCAGTGCCTCGCAAACATCTTGTTGTTGAGTCGTGTGGGGACAGAATGGGGACATTTTAATTTGAACCCCTCGACCTCGTGACCTTTACCCCCTGAACCCCTCCAGGAAGTACCCTGTCGCTGTGGAGACGTGTTTGTTTAAGAGACGCCGCAGATGTCGGTGTCATTCAAATCATCATTAGACCGATTACCTCAACATACGCTCAGATACACTACATGATTTTAGCATTTCTGTCAAAAAGCTAGAATGATTTCAATCTATTTTGCACCTAAACATGCCCCAAAAGGCTTGAATCTGATATAATATGGTCACATGACAATTCAGAGCTGGTCAAATTCAATCATTTTGTGAAATACACATATGTTCAAAATGTATACATCCTATTAAATTGAGTTTCGTTACTTAATACTTCAGGTAATCAAGTGTTTTTCCCAGACAGAAAAACAAGATGAATTCAAATGAAGTCTGATCTGCTAACCCTCTTGTCGGTTGCCACATTCATAATAAAAAAATACTTTTATCCCGTATCCTGTAGATAAAACAGATTGGCTGGTCCGACTTTATAATAGCTCCACCTTAATTAGGTGGGGGCCTGAATCGTTCTTATGAATCGTTCATTATGGATGGTCTTTGTTCATGCTTTTTATGGCTATTAAACACGTAGTTATATAAGTGTTAGCTGAACATCTGAATAACCTTACTGAAAAAAATATAAATTATTAGGTCAATTATGAGTGACTGGCAGCAGGCTTCTCTTAAACACTATGACCGGAAAAGACTGAATAAAAATCACACATTAGGACAAAAAAAGAATCAGAATTGAAGCAGCGATCAAGGCTTTTGTCCCAGAGCTACAAAGGTGAGTGGTTTCAATATAAAGTAATTTTACAGCTCTGCACACTATCACCTTTATAATCACTTTAACTAGCTTCAGCACTCACCTCGACAATGAGTAAAATGTCCATGAAACGGAAATGGAAGGAATTCACATAGCAGGAAAAAAAAATAAAAAATCAGGTAAATTATCCCCAGTGTATTAAACTGTATGGACCACATCGTAAGACTATCATCTCCACATTCTCACATAAAGGTCCTATATTATGCAAAATTGATTTTTTTGAAGGTGCACTATTTAAATTTTCTGGTGTTTCTGGTTTCTGCCATATTGCATTACACTATTTATCTTGCATTTATTAATTTTCCAGTGTAGGGCCTGCCACCTGCTTGTATTCATAGAGATGTTACTGTTTTGCTTGCAGGTATTATCTAAATCCATGGAGACAAGAGGGTGACAGCACCAGGCCAAGTTACAGGTCAGATCTGTGGAGAGGCAAGTTTTTGCACAGTAAGAATGCATGCAGGTGGAATGGCATTAATTCAAGATAGATACATTTAATGACATACACATATAGTTTAATCATACTGTACAGCACCTCAGGCAAAGCAATGACAATCTCCTCGGAGACAAGCATGTGGTGGAAAAGTTACGTAGTGCACCTTTAAAATGGCATATTCAGACATCCAACCACAAGTGACCAGTTACAATACATAAACAAAGAGGTAAAGAGAACAGCAAGAGGCTTAAAGGTGCAGTGTGAAGGGAAAGTTACAAGAGCGGTCACAGATTTTGTTATTGGGGTTCCCAAACTCGAAAATTCAAAATCAAATTGTCTGTGATCACTTCAAGTTGCTAAACATTTAACACCAGGTTTAAACGAGTTAGTTGATAGTTTATTGTGTTATTTAACCTAATTGTACGATTCGCCCCAAAAATACATTGCATACATTGTCATAAATCTATCAAGTCCTCTTGACCCCAGTGCCTTGAGACAAAATTTATGCTAAATCTCAAATCTCATCATGTGCAGAAATTTTGGGTGTCAAAAAACAAAGTATGGTGTCTAAATACTGATCTGAGGAGTAAATGTGCTTGAGTAACTGTAACCGGGTTCTATTCATACAGATTTTATTAATTCAATTTTACACTTGACTTCACCATACAGCTTAATATCCTTGCAGCATAACTTTTCACAGACTGTTGAAAGCTAGTGTTTGTGGTATAAAAATATTAAAGGTGCACTATGTTACATGTCAGGCTACCTGCTTGTCTCCATGGTTATGTTAGTTTTGGCTGGAATATATGGCATTAAATGTATCTGTCTAGAATTGATTTCATTACGGGTGTTTTTATAAAACAAACATCTTTTAAAAAACACACATCCTCATTCAAGTACTGTTGCCTCTTCACAAATCCAACGTGTATTTTGGTCTGCTTGTCTCCATGGTGATACATATGGTGCAGAGATAAAAAAAAAAAAAACATTACTGAGGAAACCTCATGGACAAGGAAACAAGCAGGTGATGTATCCTCCACCAGAAATATTACATAGTGCCTCTTTAACAGTTACAGCCAAATGTCAAATTGTACACACTGCCCCTTTAATGCCATGTATGAAAACAGCATTAGCCACTTGCGCCTGGTTCACTTAAACCATGCTAAGTGCACCAGGGTTAGCAGTACATGAACATCTCTGGCCCTAAAGACACTCCTTGCAGCCACACTCCACAGGCTTCTCCACATCCTGAGTGACGGTTGTCCCATCCTCGCACTCGAATGTTAGCTTCCGTCTACGCACCCTTAGCGGCGAGCAGCAGTACGATGTGTTATTGAGGCTCAACTCTGCCCCGGCCTGACAGCGCCCCCTACAGTCCACCCACGAGAAGGGCTTGGTGGTCTGACAACGCAGGCCTCCTCTCTGCAGTTTGTGGAAGTCTCGCACTGGCTCGCCGCGACAAGGAGACTCTGGAGACAAAATACATGTGAAAATATAACTGGCGACATTAGCTGCACAATGCCTCCAGATGCACAAAAAGACAGTTTAACTTGAAATAGCATCATGTCTAACTGTAACTTTTCTGCGGGAGGTTCTGCCACCTACTTGTCTCCATGGAGATGTTACTGATTTGCCTGAAATTTTAGCATTAAACTTGTCTATATTACTTCTCAATTTTTATTAGAGCAAGTCCCATTGGGAGGAGGCTCCGGAGAAAACCCACAACAGGAGGGACTATGTCTCTCGGCTGGGCTTCAAACACCTTGGGGTTCCACTAGAGGAGCTGGAGGAAGAGTCTGGGGTGATAGAAGACTGGGAATCCCTGCTTAGACTGCTGTCTCCATGACCCAGCCCCGGGTAAGATGAAGATAACCTTATTGGATAACCTACACCAACTGCTTTTTGTTACAGAGATAAATGAGTTGAGTTGAGGGACCCTCTACCAAAAAAGTTTCACAGCACACCTTTAAGCCAAACTGAATGTTTACTAGAAAACTAGTTCTACTTACTTTTTAACAGAATTTTTAGTAGCCCCAAAATTTACTGAATTATAGTAGCATGAGTATTTTTAAATTAATTATTTTCCAACTGTGGCTATGACCAAACCCCGAGACCAAAGTGCAGCCATTATTCCACTTTTGCACCTTTGAACCTTCACTACCTGATAAGAACACATGCAAGCCCCCACACATGCCAGGAAAAACAAGTGTAAACACATGTCCTGTGGTAAAAAGTGACTCTTGGTGATGTGGTTGTGGAGGTGAGGCAGAGGGGGGCGCTGTTCTCACCGATGTCGCAGCTCTGTCCAGTGAAGCCCTGGTTACAGGTGCAGCTCTCACCCCTCTCCGTCTGCTCACACACTCCATTCACACAGGGCAGGCCTTGGCACAGCGGAGCCGGCGCCCCCTTCTGGTTACACAGCACACCATGGAAACCCGGCTCACATTCACAGCGGTACATTTGAGAGTCCAGCACCACACAGCGCCCCCTAACACACCTGTGAGTAAAAGCAATACAGACTGTAATGGGCCAAAGGGATAAGTGAAGAGGCTGTAATCTTTAAGTTTCAGATGACATCACAACATATAGGACAATATTATTTAATATTTGAATTGAATTGCTGTTTAATGGCCAGATTCCAGATATGTTGACCTGGTTTATGGTTAATATCGCTGTAATTACCACATGAAACAAAAACTGGCACAAAGTTGAATGTCTTTTCTGTCAGTATAAAACAAAAACAAAAAACAAAACAAAAAGGAAATTCAGAATAGTTTCAGAAACAGATTTTTGTATAGTTTCTGTTATTCAACCCCCAAAACCAGTTTGTTGACTTAAAAACATAAAATGTATATGGCATTTTATAATGTTAAGGTTATGAAATTCATGGATCAAGTTATGGATCAAGAAAAAACACATGTCCCAGCCCCCTTCCCCTCCATCTGAAATGATGACATCATGAGGGATCAATAATGTAACCATAGCCTTCGATTCTTGTATGCTGAAATAAAGCTATTTGCTAACCACAATGGACTTTGCAGTTCAAATATTACTGATGCAAATTAATCAATACAAAATTGGTGTTAACATTGTTATCGTACTCACTTGCTGTTTTCACATGGGTTGGGCTCTGTGGCCTTGGTGACGACATCACTTCCTGTGAGGCTCGCTGAGATTGGCTGATCACAGAGCTCCCCACTCCAGCCCAGGTGACAGACGCACTGAGGGCCCTGTGGAGAAATGTACATTCAACATTTTAAAAAGGTTGTTCAAACAGGCACTCACTAAGTTAAACTATGCTCACTTTGGACCCAGTCATCCACATACTTTGACTGGAAAAGTACTACATATAATTTAACAGAGCATTTTATCATTGAAGAGCCTATGTAAACACAAAATCTTTGAAGTGACATTGTGTAACTTTATGGAGGTGAAAAGTCCTGCATGATTCCATGAAAACAGAAAGTTAAAAGCACATTTTTCTGTGATAGATATTACATTTTAGTGTAATAAAATGAAAACAAACAAACAAACAAAAAAACAACAACAAAAAACAGGCTTTTATTTTAGATGGCTAAAAGGTTACATGGTGGGACTTTAAAATGCATGCATGTAATTAGAATTTACATAATTAGATTTGCTTGTTGAGAAAATCACCTCTTAAGGCAATAAAAAACTTCAAAGGAATAGTAATGTAATAATGTAAGTCAAGATCCTGGAAATAACAATCATTTTATTTTACCTTCATTTTCTATTGACTGAGGCCCTGTGAGGTGACTGCTGATGTGATTTTTGACTATACAAAAGTAAACTACATTGAATCTCATAATGCAATCTGTAATGTCATGTGACAGGTCAGTTACCAGTGCTGCATTGGGCTGGCAGAGTCCGTTTACACAGGGCACTTTGGCACAGGCCTCACACCCAGGCACCACCCCCGGCTTCATGTGAGTCTGAGTAAAGTCCTGCAGCTCGTGGTTTATGTACAGGTTTCTGATGCAGCCGTGAAAACTGGAGATGTTCAGAGGAGTGGAGGAGAGAGAGAGGGAGGGGGGCAGCACCTCCTCTGGCATCCCTACAACACAGGGCACAGGAGTGAGCTTACCAGTTTATCCAGTTTAAAGTTATATGACTGGTTAGACTACTTATTTCACTAAAACATAGTTACCTTCATTTTAGTTTAGGTATGAACAAAGACTGTATAAAGAAGAGGAATAAGGGAGTGCGACATTACTCACAACGTTCGGCTCCTGTCAAATGAAGGTCACAAGGCTAGCAGTTTTAGGGGCATATTTGGAGCAGAGTTCCATATTAGGAATAAGACTTTATTTACAGACAAAATATCTAAATAAAAACACCAGGATCATGTAGAGTGAACTAATAACAGTTCAAGACCAAAATTACGAGGCTCACTGCAGCAGTTACAGAGAAAGGGGTGATAATTTTTCAATGTAAAGTCAAGTGGAACCAGTGTCGATGGAGCCGTATGCTCCCCTTTGCTCATTTCCTATTTGTAACCCAGTAGCTAGTGGGTTAGCTATGTCCATTTATATATACAGTCTATGGATTTGACTAAAAATCTTTCCTGCTTTTTTTTTTTTTTTTTTTTAATGCTTTTTTAGTTTTGGTGAAGTGTACAATTTTGCTTCCTGGTTGGACAAGGGCAGCAACCCTAACATAAATAAAGGCTAAAACCTGTCAAAAATGCACAATAGTTACGATTTGACCAATTTAAATAACAACTAAAATTTTGTTAAAAATTGTATTTTAGAGAACATACAGTATTTGGTGACATAGGTAAAGGGATTCCGTTTTAGAACTCATTGCTTCCTGCATTTTTTGTGGTCTTGTTTTCAATATTCCATTTCCACAAACTGCCATTAACTTCATAATTATGATAAAAAATTTTTTGTTTTCCCCAAGAGTTTTGTTTATAAAAGTAGTATTGACTGTGCTGTTGTGGTCAGTTGTGTGTGCACGGCTTGATTAAAAATTCACCCATGTGAATATTAACCATGTGCCAAAACGTTTGTGAGAGATAGGGACTAGTTAGATAGATTTAAATATGTATTTCCTATTTTCATGATTTGAACTGGCAGATTGCAGTTCATAAAAAATGTCATTTTGAAATGTTTGTGATAATATTTACAGCAAAAAACAGTTGAATTTGCTGTACCAATACATAGTCTGGTATGCTGAAGTTATTTATGAGCATTTAATAGACAGATCTCCCCTGGGCTCTTCTGGAGCAGGGTTAGTGTCCTCACCTCCCACGTACAGCGGTGTCTCTGTCGCGGTGCTCTGACTCCTGCCCAGACTGTCCAGACTTTGAGGCTCTCCTCCATCCACAGAAAGGTTCACCATGTGGTTAAAAGTCACCAGCTCAACTGTGTGGAAGTGCCCATCGTTCACCGTCTCTGCACTGGGCACACAAGCATACAGTATAGAACACAAAAGTAGTGATGCTGTGGGTTCAAGTCTATAGTGAGGTGACTGAATGTAATGGCAAACTTCTGTGTTCTTTTCTGTCTGATCTCTGAAGCTCAGCAAGGCAGGGGCCTTGCTGAGCTTCTCTCCTGGTTAGTACCTGGATGACGGATCACTGGGAAAATCAAGTGGCTCTACTGCATACTGTTGTAGTGTCCTTAGGCAAGACACTTCACCCACCTTAACTAATATGAATGTTGTGTATTTATGAGTTTAGGAGGAGCTGATGGTGCAGATTGTCAGCCTCAATTCCACCAGTCTAATCCAGGGCAGCTGAGGCTACAATATTCGTTTACCACCAGTGTGGAGTGATTGAATAAAGTATTAAATAATGCATTATTATTATTATTGTTAATGTTACCTGTAGATGGCGCTGGCGGGCTGGTTGCCGGGGTCGTAGGTGACTCGGACACGGCCTTGGTGAAGCTCCACAGCAATTGGTTCGTCATATCCATTGTACAGTAATATACCATTATCTTCAGCTGTGGACACCTGCAGTACAAGGAAGAGTTCATGTCCTCTGAGAAGAACTGAAAAGCTTACCTTTAGGAAATCTTTCAAAACACCTGTTAACCCTTGGAGTTCAAATCTTTAAAAAAAAAACTAAATCTACTTCAGTAATATTTTCTTGAAGTGTGTGTTTTTGCTATAACGTGTGACTGGTCTAAGGGCTTCCCAAACTTTTCAGATCACTAAAATAACCAAGTGAAAGAGAAACAGTCTTTGACAACATTTAATTACCAGCATATTGATTTTCCTCAAAAAGCCTATATATCTTCATCTCAGTGCCTTGCAAACCTCATTTAATAACAATGTTTGTGTAGCCAAATATTGCAGTACAGAGGAAAGTGATCCTCTGATCCTTTTGTGAGTTGACCTGTAGAGTGATATTGGCCTGGCTCCAGTTGGGCACCTCCGGCAGTTGGACGTATGAGTCTCTGTTGATGAAGTTCACACTGACCAGTCTCTCACAGCTTGGGCCCTCAAACCCTGCGGCACACTGGCACTGGGGGGCGCCAGAAAGCTGCACGCACAATGCCCCATTCTGACAGACTATGGCCCCACACGGAGAAGGGCCGGAGGGCCGCACTTCACACAGGTCTCCACTGGGTACAGGGACAAACAAAAAATGTATCAATATAGTTTTTTAGTGATAATTATACAAATAACATTTATTTTCTAAAGACATTTTTAAAGTATGAATACTGACAAAAAAACAAACTATTCCCCTTCAGGGTGGGAGTGGTTAGTATACAAAACATGGCTTTACACTTTATAAACACTGAAAAATCATATGGTAAGATTGTTTTTCTTGTATATTAATATTTTTGTAATATCAAGTTTATGCAGCAGGAGTTTAAATTGTGAAGACATTGACCCAATAAGCAATCAACTGACGCATAGATCTTATGTTACTTGATGTTGTTTTATAGGTTTGTGCCCAAAGCTCCTTGTCAAAGCCTGATCTTGTCACTGGATGGGAGACTGATGGGAAGATCAGGTGCCAGAGTGTGGCATCAGTAGCAAACCTGTTGTTTTATCCTCTGGCAAGACACTTCAACCACATTTCCTGGTATGAATGTGTATGTTGGTGGTGATTGGAGGGTCAAATGCCACAATTTGGCAGCCTGTCTCAAGGCAACTGTGGCTACAATAGTAGCTTACCATCATCGATTTTGGAGTGAATGAGTGAATGCAAAAAACTATAAAGCAACATCTCTATAAAACTTGTAACAAAGTGAAAAATGTCTGGTACCTGAATCCTTTGGGGCAGAGGCAGCTGTATCCGTCTAGTTTGTCGACGCACTGAGCTCCGTTCTGACAGCGGTGGTTCAAACACTCATCATAATCAGAGCCACAATCAGGACCCACCCAACCCGGCGCACACACACACCTATGACATATACAACAGGGAAAGATTATAAACAGTAAACAAAAGGAGGCAAAGATTTCACACACTGTACACACTGAAATCACTACACACAAGTGGGCTGACTGTCAAAGAAAAAGGTAAAAATGTTCAACAATATGACATTTAATGTATCTATCTCCACAGTGACAAATAAGTTACAGGAATGTGTGAGGTGATCATGTGCAATGCATTTTAATTAAACCTTACATAGTTACATAGTGCACCTTTAACATCTATATCTTATTTACTTTCATGTGAAGCACTTTGGTCAGATGTTTACATGTGCTATCTAAATAGACTATATTAGTTGTCGAGTGTGTTCACCATTGTACACACATTACATAAAAACACACAGATTTTCTTTTCATCTGCACGAAAATGACTATGGAACACTGCCAAATCCTATGTGTATCACAGATTAAGAAAATAAAATTGGAGAATAAAGTAAGTACAGAGTAGTGGGCGTATGCCGGTGGCAGTGAAAAGATACCAAAATGGTATCTTAAAAATAAGCAAAAAACAAATACAACTTTGGGTGATACCTGGGGCCACTTGGAGCACTAATGCAGGTGGACTGGTGGAGACAGGGGTTTCTTCCTGGAGCGCACACATCCTCTTCCTCTTCACACAACAGTCCTGACCATAAGCACAAGATAATAGGTACACAAGGTTATCATTTATACAGACGATGATACATTCATCAAATCTCCCTTTAAACAGTTAAGTACACTTGTTTGAAGGCTCTCCACAATTCAATCTGAGAATTCTTTTTTAAATGGTGAATGGTCACATTTATACACTTCTCTACCTTCAAGGTTCTCAAAGTACATTATATCAAAAGACCCATTCACACACATTCACACTCCAGTACACACAGACACTTGGGGCAAGATGGGTTAAGTGTCTTGCCCAAGGACACGACAATGGCATTCATCTGTGGAAAAGGGATTCAAATCTCTAATCTTCAAATTAGAGGACAAGCACTTTACCAACTGAGTTTGATTGTTTAATAACCCTTTTTACAAGTCTGATACATTTGTCAAACGTGTTCATTTTATCCACTTTATTTTCCAAATTTTGATAATTTCTTGTTTAAAACTACAGTGAAAATGCCCTTGTGCTCGTTTAGCACTACATAAGAACTGGAATAGTCCTGTATAGTTGGTTTAGATCTGGTGACACTTGAAAAGTCATATCTTTTCTTTGGTGGTACATGGTGGCTACTGATATAAAGCAATATTAGACATTAGACAAGTGGTCTGAAAAACAGTGTATTTCTCTGTCTGGGGGGGATACCTGTGTAGTTTGGGGGGCAGAGGCAGGTGTAGTTTCCCACTCCGTCCACACAGGTGGCGCCGTTCTCACAACCGTGATCTTCACAATCGTCAATATTCACTTCGCAGAATGCCCCGTGGAAACCAAAAGCACACGCACAGCTAGAAAAATAATAACTTATAGAGTACTTTTTGGGATACTCAAAGATGCTTTATAAACAATAACAAAAACACACAGTAATAACAATTATGAGTATTAGTAACTACTATAATTACTAAAGTCGCACTATGTAACTATGTGATTGCAGAGCTTGGAATGTACAGTATAGCACTGTAGCCTTGTATGGCATGAAACATACTGTATCCATCTTATCTAAGTTACAGGTCATATCTGTGGAGAAGTGATCCTGCTCAGAGGCCCTGCTTTGTTGTTTTTTCAAAGGTACTTTTCTGAATTTTTTAACTACAGAAATCACTCAGTAAAGCATTTCTTATAGTTCCTCTGTATTTTTCCTCCTTAAGGCCCCTTAAGCAAATCTTGACTTTTAACTATAGGATAAACTCAAGTCAAAATTCCTTAAACCTCCAAAGTGTCTTGACCGCACAGTGACCCTCATAGCCCTCTGGTGGTTTGGATTTTACATCTTTTATTTACTGTACATTCACTGTGCTTTGGTCTTTTTCATCTGTTTTTGAATCGGGGACAGTGTGTGGCTTCTGGTTCAACTGCAGTTTGTCCCAAATTAAGAAATGAAGCATGAAGCGTGAAATATCAAGAACTCAGTCTGACTGTAAAAGCATGTGGCACAACATAGAAAACCGGATACACAAAAAGAACCCTATATATTCAGTGGTTTGAGAATATATTTAGCTATACAATACGGGATACGTCTGTTGAAGGGCCCAAGTTACACTATTTTCTGATCTATGTTACAATGTTGTTTCATCAAAAACATACCTGTAGATGCGCTTTGTTTGTTTTGCCTGCATATTTAGACTGTGTTCTTTTCTCAAATGGAAAACACTCTCACAATGTCATGGGGTAATACAGGAAGTGCTCCACTGTGTTTTTAAACTCCATAACCTTCACTACAATCATTTGGATGAATTCAGCCCTGGAAGTGACAATCTCTACTAAACAATGTTTCATGACATTACAACAGCAATAAAAAAAGGTTACTCAAACATGTGAAACAAAACCAAACTCCAGGAACATTTTTGAACATTATAATATGGCTTAAAGCTCAAATTAGACAATTTAGCGCAATATAGGACCTTTAAAAATGTTTTTTCTTTCTGTGGTATTCTGGTACATAGTCCCATCACAGTACTCTGTTCTGAATACTTACAACACAGGACACTGAGTTGTATTTTATTATAGTGGAAAAAGGTAAATTAGGATTAAAACAGGGTTATGTTTGTTGCTATATGTCATGTATTTATTTCTCACTATTAAAAAACAAAACAAACAAACAAACAAACAAAAAAACTACCTATATAAACTGTTACCTGAACCCTCCGGTCTGCTCATCACTGATACAGGTGCCTCCATTGGTACAGGGTTCACTCACGCACGGGTCCACTGGAGTCTCACAGTGTTTCCCCTGTACAGAAGAATAACATTTCAGTTAGACCCATTAGAAATTATATTAAAGATGCATTATGTCACTTTTCTGGTGGAGGGTTTGCCACCTGCTTGTCTCATTGGAGATGATATCTCTGGTGGAAGAACGTACCAGAGAATGTGCCAGTTTGTCATTAAACTTAAAATTATGGAGATAGGTACATGACCAAAACTGACTCAAACTTATGTGAAGAAAACCATACAAATCCCTAGTCCAATGAAAACAACAAGAGAAACTTGCAAAAAATGCATTTTAATAAAGTATGGTCCAAAATATACATAATTAAATCACAAGAGTCATTTTGTGTAATATAGGAGCTTTTAATGGGAGATTACATTTTTGCTTTAGAATGTAACACCAGATTTGTCATTGATTGGCTATATAATTATAACTCCCCTTACATTTGCACTAATTACACAAATCTATAGTGTGTGAAAGGTGCTCTGTTCTTACAGTGAATCCGGTGGGGCAGGTGCAGCTGTACTCCTGACTCTGGTCGTCATGACACTGGCCCTGGTTTAAACACGGAGACGAGACACAGGGGCTGCACTTCACCTGCACCCACTCCTCCACTGGGCCTGGGGGACACAATCCATACAAATGCAGCACACATACATTAAAAAACACTGCTCCACCAGACATAATACATGTGAAAAAACAACACACTTAGATATGAATCACTTCAATCAGACCAGAACAAAAATACACAAGTCCACAGAAACTGCTCCTCCACAGGGCTTAAAGAAAATATACAATAATACTAGGGCTGCGTAATATGAGAAATAATAGTTCATATTATTGCAACTTTTCAATATACTTTTTGATTTGTTTTGTTGCAGTTTACTTGCAAATCAAAGTCAAAGGGATCAACATCAGCAGTACCGATCTGGAGGATTAACCTATTCTGCACATTTTAGGAAAATTTAAAAATACTTTACGCCAATTACACAATTATAATAGAAAACACTGGTATACAATAGAATGTAATGTTACACACAAAATAATAGTAATATCTTAAATATTACCGTGTGGTACTTCTGACATAACCATAAACCTAAAACTATTCAGATTTTTAAAATAATATTTTAAGTATCAATTTTCTTTTTTGACAACCCTAATATAGACACAGGGAGAACATGCAAACTCAGCCATTATATTATAGTAACATTCCTCTCCTTATGGTATGAATTAATGTGTCCATATTTTCAAGAAAGTACATTTTCCAACATTTTTTCCCATAGACTTTGATTTGAAAAGGTTTGAAAGCTTGGTTGGGGGCAAATTAGCTATATAGTAATGGAATGGCATTTGTATTTCCAGAACCAGGGCTGGAGTGGGCGAGTGGGCGGGACTGTTGTGTTCCATAAGTATACTAGTATCTAATTTTTTTGACAATCTATACTGGACATAGGGAGAACAGGCAAATTCGATACAAAAAGGCTCTACTTCTTTCATGTATTAAATCAGTTAAATATATGCAGTTTTTCTCAGCCTCATTATTGTTACAGTGACATTCTTAACACCAGTGTGATTTGGTCCCCATGGCGATTCCTCCTGTCTGCCCTCACCATTTTAAAACACTGCTAAAGAAGTGACCACAGAGAGCCTATGTTTTAAACCAGCCTAAGCAATATAAAGGAAAAATTTACATTTAAAAATACCACAATTAGCACCTAGCTTGATTTTTCGCAGTCAAATAAGTAGAATAAGATGTAGAGTTTTAATGGAAAATCAAGTGCAACACATTCACAAATAGCTCACTACCAGGGGGCACTTTACTGTTCATTTGCAAGTTTTGTGATGGAAATTAGCAATTAGCCAGATGTATGTATGCACCTAATAGTAATTGATAAAAGCTTTTGTTAATTTATTTATCAAATATTCTTTTAAAGATTAGTTTAATTAAACCTTTATTGTTTTCTTGGTAGCAGGAGTCTTCAGAGTTGAATAATGGCACCACTGTCTGAAGATATTGTGAACACAGATTTCTGACCTATCATCCAGCTCAATTTAGAATGTTTTGATGTAAATTTGATACAGTATATTCAATTTATTTTTGGTTCATGAATATTAGTCTAGAATGATATGAAAATAAATAAATTACATAGTGCTTATTTTGCATTTACTTATTTCTTATACAGTATGTCTCATGTGTCTTGCAGCTGCTCTTACCACAGACATAGATTATTGCATTTACAAAACCCTTTAACAAACAGTGTATTAACTACAGCTTAAGCCCACAGCAGACGTGTTTTATTCTTTCTGTGTATACACTCTGGTCTATCGTATCCATAGTGACTAGGTGACCCTTGTATCCTGGCCTTGGACTGGTCCAGATCCTGCTCTACGATTGCTCTGGTCTCTGAAGTCTAAAGGAGAGGCGACGCTTGTGTGCGACAGGTGTGTGGGAGGAGAGAGCAGACACACACAAAGAGGAGGTGTTACAGAATGTATCGTACTGATAAAGAGAGAGAGCGAGAGAGAGAAGAGGAGGGAGGGATGGAGAGAGGGAAGGACAGGACCGAGCGAGGGAGAACGAAGAGAAACAGAGCGGGAAAGAAGAGAGAACAAGACGAGAGAGACAGAGACAGAAGGAGGATAGTGGACAGAGTGGGGGAGAGAGAAGAGAGATAGAGAGTGAGAAAGGGAGAGAAAGAGAGAGAGAGACAGAAAATAGAAGACTTGCATTAGACAGGGGAAAAAATGCATGCACTCACTACAACGGCATGTTTTTTTTTTTTTGGAACAAATATTGTGCATTTTGAAGCCCAAACATTGTTATGAAGTATCAGTGTACGTTTTTGATATTTGCTAAGTAACTAAGTAACATAAATAAAAAGAGTAAATCTAACACAATTCAGTAACTCAGTAATGTGTATTCTACATACATATTTTTGATTGGGACCAGTGTGAACTCAAGCCTTAGAGCTATGTGCAATTTATGGCTGTGTTGCATGTAATTAAATATTGGGAGGAATATTATTTCAGCTACAAAACTGATGTGTAAATGAGAGCATTCAGCGAGTACAGAGGTGTGCATGCCCCTGCTTCTACAGCAAGGGTCTTCAATTACATTTTCCAGGGGACCAGATTTTTTGGAGGGCTTCGGTCTGTGGGCTGGATGCTGAAACTGCAGCTCAATTTCATGCTTGATCTCTATAATATCCACAAACATCTCAAGTGGTACAATTCAACAACAGAAATCGACATAAAAATATCATAACATTATTGTTCCGTGAAGCCAAGACAAAATGCAGTGACAACCTGAAACCAGTGCAGTAGCAGGTCTAATACTAGATTAGGTTTAAACCAAGACCAGGACTAAGCAGGTTTTGGACTAAAGCAGAACAATCAGGTCTAGAGTTGAGTAGGCTACCACAATAAAGATCTAACTTTGCTATTTAGTGCACTAAAAATAAATACAGCTTTGTTAGTACATACACAGCAGTCTGTCCTACCTCGCAGTCAGAGATTAAGTCCATTCAAACAGCAACGTGCTGTCCAAACTTGTACGTAATGCTTCTCGGACTTCAAAGCACACAGAGCACACGGCCCTTGTGCATGTTACATTCACACCAAATCATCATTAAGCTTTTATTCTCTGTGTCTGCATTCCACATGTGTGCTTAGTCTGTGTTTTTTACAAGAACAGGGCTCTCTGACCCATCATGCATTTGGCAGCACCCGCTAAACAACTTCAGTTGCATTTCCTCCACCTCAAATTTTGTGCCCTGTTTTTCATATTCATTCACAAATAGGAGCAAAATGGCGCTGTGCCTTTTTTCATGTCTATGTGAGATGCAAAAGTCAACTGTGTCATATTTTTGCTCCACTTTTAGCATGTTTATCTGTTTAGCACATGAGAAAACACTTTCCGAATAAGGCTTTAGTGTACTGTCCTCACCGTTGCACTGGAACTTGTCTGCGGGCGTGGTGAGCAGCAGTTTCCCCTCCATGCCCTTTGGTCCAGCACAGCGCGCGATACCCGGCTCCTTATACCCACTCTTCACCCAGTCTGATAACCATAGCAACCGGCAGTCGCAATACAGAGGGTTAGCTCCGATTGCTCTGGGAAACAGAATACAAGCACATCATTCATGTAACTACATTTTCAATTCCTGATTTCTAGACAATAAAACACAATGAAAATCAAATGTATTATATCAATTCAATTTTCACTACATCTTTATTCCAGACTCATGGTCCATTTTTAAAACAGACAAGGACAGTGACAATACAAAACAATAAACATTTATGTTTTCAAAAGACAGCCATACCAGTGCCTCCACATATTGGACCGATATAGCATATCGCACTGAATCTCATATTTGTGAATGACATTATTATTTCATTTTCTGATTTGTTGAGTACGCAAATAAAACTGTACATTAAAGTTCTTAGTACAGCTTGCAGAGAGTTCACTTATGCAGTAACAAACATCTCAGTCGCACTCTTAATACCAGCAACCTTAATTTGATAATTGTCACTATTCAATTTTTATTTAGTTGCAACTAATCTCATAGCCCAAATTTAAAAGTAGCCACCAACTAGGCCCCCACACACTACAGGATTTTTCAGTCTTAAACGATTTTAAAATGTGCGACAAAAAGCACACACCACATACACAAGAAGTATCTAAATAATAATCAGATTTTAAAAATCTCCAATCGCAAAGACTGCAGCGGGATATGGCTGCAGAGCACAGGCTACAAAGCTGTGAGTGCACCTCCGTCAACCGTTTCCTGTTTACAGTAAAAACACTCACTTTGATACTCTAAAGCAGAGGTGCTCAGACTTTTTCAGTATGTGAGCTACTTTTAAAATGATCTTGTCTGAAAGATCTACCACCTAATACAAACATTTTAAACATATATTTATTTGTAAATGTATTATGAATTCTTACATGTACAACACATTTTGATGTATCTTGCATAACGTCATGAGATAATACTGCACAACACAATTAAACTTTTTACATGTTCGTAATTACTTGAATCAGGGGTGCCCACACTTTTTCAGCATGCGAGCTACTTATAAAATGTCCAAGTCAAAAATGATCAACTGACTACAAAGTCAAGTAAACTGTACTGGACTTAAAGGTTGTATGGAGGATTTTTTTTGTTTCAAGTTGTCAATGATAGCATTATAAAGATGCAGTAGCCTTGTAATTATGATGACCAAAAAAAAGAGAATAAAAATTCATCAACTCTGGACGTGGTGGGGCTAAACATTTGCCAATAGATAACGACACTGCCTCGTTATCTGTTAGCTGACAGGCTGTCAATAAATCTCCCTACGTTTCTAGCGTAACTGACTTGCCTGCGCGCTGCCGTTACGTGGTTTACGTACGCCTGTCACGCAGTCCACAGACGCAAGCCGCACAGACGCTGTTTACTCCACCAACGCAACAGTTCTTAGCGGCTTTTTTTGACCTATATCTTCCTCGCAGTTAGCACAAAGTTTGTTGCAATGGCGACAAGAATCCAGGAGCAGTTAGCCGCAAAAGAAAGTCCGTTTTTGAGGTCGCTGAAAGAAGAAGACAAGGGGAAAAGCAGCGAAGCCAAACTAAGGTGATTCTTGAAGATTCATTCCAGCGATGGCGCGAACTGAAGCAGACGCAGGGTCTAAAGACTGACGCATTGGTCGCCAAATTACTCCTGGACAGGTCACTTCTGCTTATTATGAAAACGTCTTTTATTTCCAAAACTAGCTTTAGTTTCCAAGAGTAGTCAAACGTTTTTCAGGACACGAAAGCGATATTCTGATCAAACGTTATTCATAAAAGAAAAAATTTTCTTAATTTTCAAGGCAAAGAAAGAGTCCGCTTGCTGCTGCGTGTTGTAGCTAGTTCATTCGCACGGAATCTCCGCGCAACTCTTCTCTGCACCCCTTTCCTGCTCCTCTCCCCGCTGCCCGATCCGCTCTTCCCCCTGCTCCTCACTTCTCCGGGATTTAGCCTCTGCACATTTACCAAACCAAACCCAGTTGTGCACGTTTATTAGGCAAACTTTAGCCACATGTCACGGTAGGTCTGCTCTGTGCTGTTGGCATCCTCTGTGCCAACACTCTAACATAAATTTAGATCAGTTTTTGTTTCGCGTTTTGTCTTGTCCTTCTAATCTGCGCACATTGTGGCTGGAGCCTGTGTGCTTTACCCGGGAAAGAGCGAGAGCGTGAAAAGGCGAGGAGCGGTGCGCTGACGTGAGCAGATGGACAGGTAGGATGTTTTAAAAAAGTTTAACCTGCCCTGTGATACACGCTGGTACACAAGGACTAACGCTGTTGCGGACAAGCCGCGCGCAGGGAGCGTGTGTGATTGTGATGTGCCGCACAGTATCCGCGTGTTCCAAATGGCGCACAGGCTATAGTGAGACGCTCCGCACGCTCCCGCACCCCGGTACAAGTTTATTGCCAACAGCAGCGTCCGTAATATGATCGCACTTGTCCAGTGTCAGACCTCGAGTGAGAGACAAGACCGAGTCCAAACGTGACAGAGTCCGAGACGAGACACGGCGATCTACCCACACGACCTTGGCGATCGATCGACTGGTAGATCGCGATCGACGTATTGAGCACCCCTGCTGTAGAGGGTTCAAAAGATCAGATCACTGCACTTTTAGTCTAGACACAAGTAAAACATGTGTTATTATTATTTGTGAAACGTGGTGCATATGATTTTTAAAGCATAAAAGACTGGCGATAGTTGAGTCACTATCGCTAATCTGCAGCTTCACCTCCTGCCTGCACTTTGTGGATGTAAACAGACACGTGAGGAATTTTTTACTCCTTTTTACTTTTAAAGAACACCTCAAACTGGATTAGTATAATGCTGTTTTGTGGACTGGGGGTAATTATTTGCGAAGGATAAATTCTATGGATAATGTGGATGAGATGCTGCGGTTTATATTTACAACTCCACCAGAGGTGAGTAATAGTTATTTTCGCTATTTCCTGAGTTTGTATCTTGCGTCTCTGTCTCCGTCACTCTGTCTGCCCCTGATGCTCTGTTTTAATGGCTGTTACTGTAGCATTGCTGATGTTTAGTGGTTATGATCTGACAGAGCAGCTCAGAGTCACACTGACACCACACATAAGGAGAGCAGCAGCTTCAAAATCGCACACTAAAGAAAAGTCGGGTCACGCTTCCCTGAACTCTGGGAGAAGCAAATCACAGCCTAAATCGGTCAAATTCTCCTGTAGTGTGTGGCGGCCTTTATTCATTCAAGATTCAAAATGAAAGGTTCAGGGATTTACACTGACTTCCTTTTTTTCAAAACATTATTCACAAATTACAGAGAACTGGCATTTACATCTGGACTTTCTATTTTGACAACTTTGATCAGTTGTGTTGTGACAAATGCATTTCTATTTTGAACAAACGTTAAACTAAAAAAAAAACTGAATTATGCCTTTCAGTGGTTTGTGATATCATGTTTAGCCACACGAGGGAGCTCTGCCACTACTACTGAGCTATACATTACAACAACAAAAAAGTATATAATTTTCTTTGTACGAGTAGAAATATTGCTGAAATGGCTAACTTTTACATATAGTGGACAAAATGCAATAGAAACAAGGTCAAAGTGAGAAACAGACTTAAGATCTATAGCTCATGGAACAGGTCTACTGATGGAGACAGGAGCAGGGTCAGTGAGTTCATTGTGAGTCATGTGACCTCATTGTTCTTATGAGAAGGGAATAAATGTCACAGAGGAATGCAACAAAAATGCATTTTCAATATCAGCTCAGATTTTGTCCCAAAAACAAGACCAAAATTTAAAAAATTGTCTGTAAAAATGTTTGATTGTTATTCAATTTTACATTTTTATTACATTTGCAATTTGTGCACTTTATAATAGCTGCCTTTGCATGTGTTCCACACTATGGTCTTTCTGTGTGTGAGGCAGTCTCTCCACAGATCTGACACGTAATCTGGTTTGGTGCTGCCACTTGCTTGTATCTATGGAGATAGATAAATTTAAGGTCTTACTGTGGAACAATTCAGACAAAGCAATAACATTTCTTTGTAAAGAGGCAGGTAGTGGACCCTTAAAATGTCTTTGCAAAGAAAGTAGAAAATTACGTCACCTTATTTAAGTCATGCATGACACATACTTGAGTAATATTTCAAAGTTTATAGTAGGTTTTTAAAACACTTTTCTCATAACAATGGATTCCTACGTACATTTACTAGAATGCCCTTATTGATCTAAAGACAGAAAGAGGGTCACTTCCTCTGGTGTCTGAACTGAAGTCTGCAAGAGTTCATTCAGATCAATAGAGTTCTGTTTATACCAGGATCTACTGTAAATTCAATTAGACCAGATGACACAGACAGAGAGGAAGAGAGACAGAGAAGGGGGAGACAGAGGGGAGGATCAGGCCAGAGAGGAGAGAGAGGGGTGGGGAAGAGGGATAGTGAAGTGAGTGAGGAGAAGAGAAGGGGAGGTAAAAGGAGAGGGAAAGAAAAGGGAGAAAGAGAGAGAGGGCTGAGAGGAATGGAGAGAAGAGAGAGAAAGAGACAGAAAGGAAAAAAGAGAAGAGCGGTAGCAAGTGGGGATGTCCGAGAAAGGCAGAGAGAGAGAGAGATACAACTACTAACTCTGTAGTTTAGAACTAACTAAAGTTTATGAAGAGCATGTGATTTTTGTATTATTTCATTAGTTTATTTGATTATTGCTACTGGATGTGTTAAAAATGTGCAGTGTGTGTTTACGTTATTTCCAACCTATTTTCCATTATAATATTGGAAAAAAAAAACTGAAAAAAGAAATATATATGTGTGTGTGTATATATATATATATATATATATATATATATATATATATATATATATATATATATATATATGTATATATATACACACACACACACACGCACACACACACAGATATATATATATATATATCTCAAAATGGTTGATTGAAGATCACAATAACTGACATATTTTTCATTTGTCAGGAAAAGCATGTGGTTTGGAGGAGTCTGGTCATTTATTTAAAATGATCTGTGTAATAGTATTGATGGTGTATGTTTATGAACAAAGTAATAGAAATAACTATAGTAAAAATAGTAAATAGTAATAGTAGTAAATAGTAAAAACTCACAGATGAGAAAGTGAGGCCACGTCACTGAAGATTCCCTTCTGCAGCTCTGAGATCTCGTTTCCGTGGAGAGAACTGGAGAAACAAACAAACAAGCGGTATGAATAATCAGATTAAGAGGAGAGGCAGAGCGCTTCACTGGGTCATAAAAAATATCTTTAAAACTGCAGTACAGGTGCTTTATGAGGGTTAAGTTCAAATCTCAGCAGAATTTGGCCCTTAATTAATAATGTAAAAATGGGCAAGGTACAAACCCGTGACACACCAACCGATTATATTAAAAGTCCTTACATGGGGAGGGACGCCAACTCCTTCCACCCAACTGGATGGTCTTCATCAGGGTATGAGTAATCACATTTATTTGGAGTGAGACCTGTTACTTTTACTAATCATAATAATAATAATCAATTCAATTCCATTCAAATATTAATAATGATATCAAAATGTTCAAACTAAAGAAATTATTTTCTGCAATTCAAAACAAAAAGTAAACATGGTCTACGAATAAAAAATCATTAATAAATGAACACATTTTAATCTCTCAAATGTTTTTGAAGTTGTCAGTATATAACATTGGTATTACAACTGTCATCAGTAAGTCAGTATTTGCTTTGAATATAATTAAGAACAAAGATATTTATTTGCTACATGCTGATTCATGTGCATGCCTTACAGCAGTCGGAGTGAGCGCAGTCCTGCCAGGGCCTGAGGAGGGATGCAGCGAAGAGAGTTGTAACTGAGGATCCTGAAACACACACACGAGTAAGACTTTAAACCTTTATATTCTTTATATGAAAGTACCCATGACAAGCTGGTCCACTCAAGTCACTAAACACAGCAAAGATAAAATATTTTCCAAAGTCTGGCAATTTCTGTGTTGTGTTGTGTCTTTTGGACATACACTAGGACTATACAATTATAGGTTATCCATCATTGTAGTTATACTGTATCTAATTTGCACAATCTATAAAATTTGTATTATTTAACAAAATTTTAAAAACTATATGACACCTAATTAGTTTTGTTAAATTATAGTCTGAATGACCAGAAAAATGAGTTCCTTGCACATAAATATTTGGATGGAATTTATGTCATCAATAGGTTTTGGAACTCAGCTCTAGTTTGTGTAATTTTCAACTCATTTTCCAAAATGACTGATGTAAAACTATGATAAATATTATATACCATATGAACTATCCCACCAAACAAAGTAATAATTAGAAAACCATGGAAACCTGTCATATGCGTTTCAAAGAGACAGAGCCTGTGGTTAGTGTAGTGGACTCACAGAGTGGTGAGTTGGCTCATGTTGGAGAAGGAGTCGTCTGACAGAGAACTGATCTTATTGTTGCTCAAATCACTGAAGAAAAACAACAAACAAAAACTGTTAGAAAACAAATGAGGATAATGTAAAGTGCTAGAGTGAATTGGATTAGTTTAAATGTTATTTCATTGGTTTGTCTATTTGACTATTGTTTTTGTGTGAAATTTATCAAAATAGTTTAATTGGATTCAAAACAGGACTCAAATGATTGCACATTCTGTATGAGGTGAAAGCTGGGGAAGGTGTGTAGTGCAGTCCACAGCCCCCTCTACTGGAGCAATGCATAACTACATACACATTAAACTCCACTAAATGTAAGTTTAATTAAGAATCTCACATACAGTAAAACAAAGGGACATGTTGTGTTTGTTGTTGTGCTAACATACATATGAAGAAAATAATAAAATATATTTTGTGTTTTTGACTCACACAAGCTGCAGATACTTGAATGAGGCCAGCTCTTTAGGGACACTGATGAACTGGTTTCCATCCAGGTAACTGCCACAGACTCAGATTAGATTAGCCTATGCTTTATATTATCACAGTAGAGGCTACACTACATAGTATAATACTGTAATATTATGGCAGAAAATTATTATACAGTCTACACCACAGTGAGGGGTCACACTCACAGTTCGGTGAGGTTGCGGGGCAGTCCTCGGGGCAGACTCTGCAGGTGCTTGTTGCTGCAGCGGACCACAGTGTCCACACAGGTGCACTGAGCAGGACACAGGGGCCCGGGGCCACACAGAGAGTCATCCACCCAGCCTGAGAGGGACAGAGGGCACAATGTACCATCATTTTAATCAGATAAAACCTCTTCTCCAGTAATGTCAAACTACTTCTACAAGTACTAGTATTTAAACACACACAAAAGCACTTCCTGAATTACCATCTTGGCACTAGGGGCTTCATTTATCAAACTCATGTACTAAACAGATAATCATTCTAAAAGTGGAGCAAAAACCCAAGGCAGTGCAGTTGTGCTCCTATGAGTTAATAAATATGCAAAACAGGAAGTCTTCACCAACATGTGGAAAATTGAGGTGGGAGCGATGCAACTTAAGTTGCTTAGCGCTGCCAGATTTATCACACCTATGAGAGTAAAAACTGCATGACATTATAGAATGTTGAAGAGACACAGGTGCAAACTTTTTATATAGGATAGATGCTGCACCAGTAGGGCATTTGATAATGATTTTAAATACTTTTAACGACCCACAAGAACACAATAACATGTTGTTTTCAAAGCAGTGGTAATAAAGTATACACTATTAACAAGTGACCCTTTGGCCCTGACTCCCACAACCTTTCCACTGAACCAGAGCACCTGGATTAATAACTGATTGATCTGAGCTCTGGTTGTTGATCACAATACAATTTTTTATGGAAAAAATTTGGAAAGCATCAATAAAATGAGAGAAACAACCATTTAAATGGTTAAAGTACTATTTGTGAGTCTGTACCATCTTCACATCTGAAGTCTGGGGTGGCGACATCCTGTAAGGGGATCTCGCGGAGGAAGGCAGGGCTTTGACAGCGAGGGTTGCCTGTGACAATTCTACGACTTCGAAGCCACGCCCCAAACCATGACAAACGACAGTCACATTTAAATGGGTTTGCCAGCAGATTTCTGTGGTAACACAACAGAGAGGAGAGGTACACACAGTAAATGTATGCAGCAATTCAAGAATAATCACAATCAAAATCATAATTTTAATGGTCGCAATTAGAAAATGACAGAAGTTGTAATAATTTAGGCAATATGATCTATTTTCTATTACATTTGTAGTGTAGACCTCAACAATGTTCTGAAATGCATTTGAGGTGATGTTTTTTGTTTATTCATATTTCTGTGTTCCCTTCAAATGTAGCACTCCTGGATGAGTTTAAAATGTTTATATTGTTAAAAAAGAAAAGGTGGTTTTCAACAGAAAGGGTGAGTATGACAAACTAAAAACAGCTTGTGACTTCTAGGTTATTTAAAATATCTTTAAAGGTATAAATACTACATGTAATTTGAGTGTCTAAAATAGTTCTATATATGACCGATGCATTATTTGTATTAAACCATAGTGCAAAGTTGGTTACTTAGTGTAGTCCCTTACAAAGTGGAGAGGTTGGGCAGGGCGTCGAAAGCCCCTGGGAGGATGGTGCTGAGCTGGTTGTCATACAGAGACAGGAGCCGGACGTGAGGGAGCCCAGTGAAGCTGCCATTGTGAATACAGCTAATCTTATTATTCCTCAGCATCCTACAAACACACCAAGACAGTGATACAGAAAACAAAATCAATGAGGAAAAAAATATGCAGAAACATATTAGATTTTTAAAAGCTCAAAGGAGTTAGTATAAAAAGGACCACTTGTGGAACAATCTGAGATTGTTATTACAAAATAATGAGTGTTGAATCTGGGGAGTTTTATAGATATTATATTAAGTAAAAATTGACTCGTTTTAGCTTTTTGTCATGATATTATGTTGTTAGCTCCTCAAAAATATTTCCAAAGTTGTCTTTTGTTTCATTCAAACATGTTTGAGTTAGTATTCTGTCAACATCTCCAATGCTCAAAATACTCTGTTCCACCTTGTGATGTCATGAAGTGGTAATTTTCAAGTTAAAATCTACCTTTACCCTTTTGTCTTAAATCAGCCAAACAATTCAACAAATTATCCAAATGATTCTAGTGAAGGTATACGGAGTGAGGTGGAGCACTTCCTGTATTAGCATCAAAAGGTGGAGATTTCTCTCAGTCTAAATATGCACGGTTTGTGTGTTAAACATGTGTGAATGAAACAAAACACAACTCCAGGAAGGTTTTTGATGAGGAAACAACATTATAACATAGCTGAATATGTGGCCCTTTAAGTTACCAAATAATAGATTTAGATATAGACATTGACAGTTAACCCTCTGCTCAATTTTACACATTTGTGTGCTTTGTTTTAGACACAATAAATTGTAGTTTGTAATTAACAAAGAGAAATATTAGTTTTCAATATAATACTGATAACATTCCTGTAATAGAGTATAACTGTAGACATAGACAAAGCATAAATAAATACATTTCTTTATAGTTCCAATATATTTTTTATATGAACTTGTAGGCTTAGCTTAAAATCTTGTCTTTAGTTTGACTTTAAAAAGGTACAATATTGTCAGTAAGTATCAGTGTAAAGTTGAAATGTGTTATACTCACAGCATGCGCAGTCCGTCCATGCCTCTGAACATGGCTCCTCTCACAGACTCCAGGTGGTTCGCTGTGAGGTGCAGCTCCACCACTGAAGAGGCGCCCTCGAACGCACCGTCCTCTATCTCTGAGATCTTATTGTTACTCAGGTTTCTGCAAAAAACACACAGTATATGTTGTTTATTTATGTATGCCTTATGCACAGACATAGACCAAGCTACTTTTCAGCTACTGTCATTGGGTAAACTAACATTTTCACATTAGCAAATTTACAAACTAATTCATCTGAATCTTTTTTTAATTTGACTTGCAAAATATTATATTTATTTCTCTTATTTGTATCACTTTTTTATGTAAACTACAGAGCAAACAAATATAAAGTTACACACATTTTCTTGAGTTGTTTGAGGCCTTTGAATGCACCAGTGGCCTCCAACACGGGGAGGTCATTATTGTTCAGACGCCTGGAGGAAAAACACGACAATTGAAAACTCAATAAAACTTTACTTTATATATACTTTATTATATACTTTTCCACTCCAAATTGTTAAATTATTAAAATTATGAATATATTAGATGTTTTAGATATTTTAAAATAAAATTAGATCATTAGATATAGATATGCATAAGATGAATTAATGAACTGGGAGACTAGATTCAAGTTCCACTTTTTCAGTCCCAAAGCCCCAAATCACACCATGAAGAAATGCAGTACGTGATGGAAAAAATGTAAAAGTCTAGTTGACTGAAACTATTGTGGATTTAATCAATTAAATGAGCATGACTTAGATTTAAACAAATATGATACTATATTGATTTGAGTCCTCACAGCTCCTCAGTGGCGGGGGGCAGGTGCTCGGGGAACTTGGTGAGTCTGAGGTTAGAACAGTCGACTACATTGGCCTCACAGCGACATTTGGACGGACACACAGGTTTACTGTTACACTCATACGTCAGACGCTTGTCATCTGAACCTAAAAGCAGTACAGACTTAACATGCATTTAAACTTTCAAATGACAAGAAAAAAATAATCAACAAAGTGTATCATTTACCTGGGATGTAATACTGCTCTTTGGCTGTTGAGAAAAGAAAAACCTTAATGAAATTCAAAGATAAAATACACAGATATTCAAGGACATGTTTCAGATAATATCTCCTTTTTCCACTTTACTCCAAAGCAGAATGACTGGTTTTACCCTGCGTCATGTAAATCTGTTTCTCAACAGCAGAGGGTGCTGCTGGTCACATATTCACAAAGACAAATTACTTTGTAGTTTTTAAACATTGTTAGTCCCAACCCACACAGCAACATTAGGATTCAAATTTTCTGCTTTATAATCTAGTGACTGCCTAAAACTGTCTCACATTCCTCATGGGGATTCTGACCCCGAGGTTTAAAAAACAGCGTTTTTTGATTTGCATAATACAAAATTTCTGGTGGAGGGTCTGCCACCTGCTTCTCTCAATAGAAATGTTATTCCTTTACCTGGAATGTTCAGTATGGCATTAAACATATTCATCTCCATGAAGAAAAGCAAATGATGCCACTAGGCAAAGTTACAGGTCAGGTCTATGGAGATCTGACACTTAAAAGTTACATGTAGATAACATATATTAACCCATACAGATCTCTTTTAAATAAGAGCTAATATCTGCAGACATTTTGGATTAATTTACACCAGAACTAATTTAGAACTAAACCAGGTCTGACCCCAATCTAAACCAGCTCTAACTCCTGTCTGATCCAGTCTCATTTGTGTCCTCTTACCGGAGCACCTAAACTTGCTGCTCTTGATCTGTGCGATGCGTTTGTTGGTGAGTCTTCGTGGACTGGCACAGCGTGCTCCACTCGTTTCTATGGGGTTGGCCCTCAAGAAGTCAGACAGCCATTTTACATGACAATCACACACGAACGGGTTCTGAGCCAGGTGACTGGGGGAGCGAAACAACACAATAACTATGGTATTGATGATAAAGTACTAACAAAATCAAGCCTACATCAGAACATACAAACTAATGTTAACCCATTCCTGAACTACAAAGTCAGATCTGAATTATTACCATTACATCATTAAACCAGTTCTGAAGACAGACTCAGGGTCACACACACTGGGTTAAAAATGTTAAGATTGTTAACACACAAAACGTCATTAAAAATCTGTTGCTTCCTATGGTGAAATGTGACTATAAGAAGGTGGGGCCTATCAGTTCTGCTGTTTTGAACAGAAAGCCAATGAAACCATTTCTAAATTAAATTCATTACTAAGTGTCAGAAATAAATATTATTCTTAACCAGGTCTAAATTTGGAATAAACCATTTCTAAACCAAACCTTACTCAGTCCAGCTGTGGCATACTAATAGTACTATGAATACTAAATGGTGGTGAGTTGAAGCTCTTTTTAGCCAAATCAGTAGGGGGTTAACCATTTCTTAACAAGCTCTAACCCAGGCTGGACCTTAACCAGGACTAATTGGGTCTCCAGATGTAGTGGGGAACATTGTCTGAATACTTGGAAGTGAGCTGAAGGTATCTCTTGCCACACTTTGACCCAAACATTAACTAGGATTAAATCAGGAGTAAAATAGTTCTAAACGAAGTGTACACAAGATCTAAACAATACATCAGGCCTAAACTAGGACTACATCAGGTCTAAACCAGGTTTAAACCATGTCTAAACCAGGTCTAAAACAGGTCTAAAACAGTTCTAAATCAGATCTAGCATAGTCAGTGGTACATACAGTGTCTGAATACTGTGCAGTGCGTTGAATGTCCCTTTGGCCACACTCTGGATCTTGTTGTCATAAAGAGAGAGCAGAGCTAGGTTCTCCAAGTCTTTAAAGGCTGTGGCCCGGACACAGTGGATCTTATTGGCATTCAACAACCTACAGGGACATAACAGTATTTTACAGTTATATATTATTATTATTAACCAGGCATATACTATATAACATATATATATATATATATAGTATATAGACATTATTGAGAAATTATCTTAACTTCACACGACAGTAAAATGCAACAACAACAAAAAAACAAAAAACAAATACAATTTCTGGTTTTATTTCATTTTTTAGTAAAACCAAAGAAATGTTACAAATAACTCCCTGAACAAAAACTAACAATACTTTTAATCATAGCCACTGGACTGGCTATAGACCTCTCCATTAAAAAGACTCAAGCAGAACACTAACAATTAGAAGTAGTAAGAAGTAATTAAGAAAAGGTTTCCATAGAATAAATGTCAAGATAAGTATTTCTATAAATAATAAAAAGTCAAAATATAAAGTTGATGAAACGTGGACTTACAGCAGCTCTAGAGACGACAGTCCATCAAACACTCCCTCAGGCAGCTCAGTGATCTTGTTCCCATATAAGACCCTGAAAGAACAGGACATAGAATGAGATAGTGAAAGGAAAATAAAACAAATCGGTGTAGTGAAATGAATAGTTCAATTTTTACTGAATGCACATAGACAGGTAGGGCAGTATGAGAACATTTCAATTTACAATCTCCTTTACAATTTACAATTTCCTTTACAGTCATATTGTAGTGACTTACAGTGAGTTGAGGGCCTTTAGTCCATGGAAAGCATCAGGTGCGATCTCTGAAATCTGGTTGTTACTCAGGTCACTAAAAAAAGAAAATCCACAAAACACAAGTTGTTTTAATATATTGGGTTTTTCAAGATGGTGTAATCTCTCATTCATTCAGGAATGGTCAAATACACAATTATGTAAGAATTAAACAACAATGATCAGTGCGTTACACTGCTTTAACAGCATGATGTACAGCAGACTACCTGTGTGGTTATACAAGAATAATGCACAGCAGTTAGGATTAGAATTCTCACTGACCATGGCATAAAAGGAGTTAGTTATGCGCTGTACTCACATCCTGCGCAGTTTCTTGTAGGAAGTGAATGCTCCTGGAGGGACAGATTTTATGCCATTCTGCTCCAGACGGCTGTGGAAAGAAGTGAATTTGGTGTAACATGAGTTTGACATAAAACAAAAACTCTTGATAAATCTGCAAACCCACATCTCTGTCATGGCTTCGGGCAGGTGCGCTGGGATGGCGGTGAGTCCCCTGCCTCGACAGTCCACAATGTTGTTGGAGCAGGTGCACATGGGAGGACAGGAGCCAGATGCCAAACTGCAGGGCTGCACAAACGCACTCACGCCCTGACCTGGACCATACACAAACATTTAAGTCTTTTCTCTTGTCCATTATGACCTGAAGAATATTTTTTTTTTAAAAACTATAACCGTTCTTGAAATTTTTACTTCTAGTAGAATACGTTGAGGTAAATGTGCATTATGGAACTTTAGTTATGGACATTAGAATGTAATTACCTTCTCAAAAACATACCTGGAGTTGTGTTTTGTTTTATTCATACATGTTTGAGTAATACTTTGTCTGTCTATATCACCAAAGTTGAAAATGCTCTGTTCCACCTTGTGATGTCATGAAGCTGCAGTTTTCATTAGCAGACATCTTTAACCTTTTGTTTAGTAAAGATTGGAAATTCCAATGTGCAAATTATAAAATCATTCTAGTGAAGGTGTATTGAGTTTAAAAACACAGTGAAGCACTTCCTTTATTAATGCATGACATCACAAGGTGGAACAGAGTTTTTCCTGTTTGATATAAGAACTAGAACCCAGAGAGAACTAGAACTAGAACCCAGAATATGCAAGGTTTGTGTCTTGTGAATGAAACAAAACACAACTCCCAGTGTATCTGAGATGTGGAAATAACATTATAACATAGATCTGTATATTTTATTACACATTATAATAAAGTATAATATAATTTTACATATTATTATAAAGTATAAAGTGGGTATAGATTTTGTTGGTAAGGTGAACAAATTGAATCGTACCAGAGCAGGCGAAGTCACTCTTTCGTAGCTCGGCCAGGTTGAGCCCCCTCAGAACAGGAGGGGAACTGCACTGAGTGAACAGACCCAAGGCGGGTCTCTGCCGTAGCCATGGAGACAGCCAGGCCATGTGACAGTCACAGCGCAGAGAGTTTGAGTGGAGGCGGCTGGGGAAATGAAGGGGGTTATGTCATTGTTATTGTTAATATTACTTTTACTATCACATATATTGCTACTTACTGACCTTATGGTAGCCCAGATTATTCAAGTGAGTTTGTCACAGCGTCATTGAATGAGTATTTCTATAGCTACTACTATTACAACTGCAGCTTCTAAACCAGTCTACTACCAATACTACTACTATGACAATTAGAAAATATCAAAAGTGTACAATGTACAAGCAGGTGATGGACTCTGCAGCTGAGATGTTGCATAGTGCAACTTTAACAGCAAAAAACCAACACACACACAAAAAAATCTATTATTTTGCTTTTAGAAAACGACTCACAAAGTGCGCAGTTTGGGCATGTGGTTGAAGCTGGACACAGGGATTGTGGTGATATTGTTGTTGTTGAGAGTCCTGGAGAGAAACGTAGAAATAGATATAAAGTAGGATTTTATTAATTACTTTACATATTTATTAATTTATTTATTTATTTACACAAAAATGTACTCACAGCACTTCCAGAGAGCGCAGAGCTCTGAAGGCTCCCTCCTCAATGCAGCTGATGTGGTTCTTATCCAACTGACTGAAAAGGAGACAAACATTCATATGTAAAAATACAAATGTTCAGTGATTTAGAAGAACATAGGAAGTAAGTTTTTCCCTCCCCGTCAGTTTGATGTTGTGAGCCTGTAGTGGTGGCACGGTACATGAGAAAAAAAACAAAAAGAAAGCGCATGTTGTGCTGATGGCACTGGTAAACTCTTTTAATGCCGCATCCTAAATTGTGGATAATTAAGCTAACATAGCATATGATGAAGTATATTTCTGAAGATTAAAGATTAAAAAGAAAAAATGACAACAAGAACCATACAAAACCGAAAACCGCAACCTTAAACTGCAATACTAACTGAACCGTGAATTTTGTGAACCCTGCCACCCCTAATAGCCTGCCATTTGTTTTTTTTATTTTACTTGCTTTGTTCACACTTCCACATTCACCACATCAAAATTGTAAGTAAACCTGAAACTAAACCCAGACTAGACGAGGACTAATCAAAGACTAGAACAGGACCAAAGCGGGTCCACATCAGGACTACAAGAGGCTGATTTTAGAACACAATAATGACAAATACCATTGTTTCAAGTTTAATATAGTTAGTGCTGTTGATTATGTTTAGAAAGAGGCATAAACATAATTGGACATTCCTGTGTAAAATATATAGAATATCTTGGCGTAATCATTACATAGAACATTCATATGAATTGTATAGTTTTGTCATGCTGCATATGTGCTGCAGCTCTACCGCTGAACCACAGAGACAGTGTGAGGTCAGAGTGAGGGTCAGTGAGTGTAGAGACAATACTGTAGTGAGACACTCACAGGTTTTTGAGGTCGATGGCTCCTCTGAACGCTCTCCGGGGAATGGCCTGGATCATGTTTTCGCTCAAGTCTCTGTAAGTACACACAAATACACACAAGAGGAAGTCAGGGTTAGGGTACAGAAGAGTGTTGAGGGAGAGTAATAACAATTCAAATATATGTGACAATTCATGTGCATTTATTGAAAACATAAAAGTATAAAATAAGATATGCTAAGATAGGATTTATTATCTCACAGTGTAGAAAATGAATCGTCCTCAACTCAAAACATGCAATACATTAGTTATACTTTATTGTCCCCATAGGGAAATGTATCCTTGCCATTTGATTTGAACCATACTTCAGTGTCACTGGGGCAACCTGTCAGGAGCAGAGCTAAGCCTGGTTAGAACTACTTTAGCTGAATGATTTTTTCTAATGAGCAAGATTTTGGCTAAATGGAGAAAACCTGGAGTTCCCATTTCACACAAATTTACACAATTTGGTCTTGCTCAAGAGCACAACAATAATGCACTTATTGATAAGAAAGCTCTGAGGACAAACTCCAAATGAGTTACGGCCAAGCTATACCTGCATACAGCTTGCAGAAATCACAAAGTCAGTTTTGTTGTGGTTGTGCATTTATTCAATTCAATGGTCAATGATCAAAAGTACATGTATCACTTTTTCACCTTCAAGGAACCACTCACCCAATCACACATATTTATTAATAAACCAGTGTACAATGACACTGGGGGGAGGTGGGTTAAGGGTCTTGCACAAGAACACAACAACAGCATTGATCTGTTGAAGCTGTAATCACATTGCCAACCTGGTGGTCAGTGGACAAACACTCTACCAACTGAGCTACTGTCAATCACCGATTGTCACTGAGCTAAAACAATACTTAGCCTGTGGAGTCACCTACTTATCTCCATAAAGCTAGATAAGATTGATGCCAAATTATGGAACATTCCAGGTACAGCAGTCTCCATGGAGACAAGAAGATGGTGGATCCTCTACCAAAAAAGTTACACAGTGCACTTTTAAACTCTCTAAAAGTGTGTTCTTCCACAACCTGACTTTTCATGAAATGATTGTACAAATTGGAGCATCCACTAAAACTACCATATCTCACCTATAGCCTATTCTATCCTATATCCTCTAGCCTATTAGTTTCTATAAGTCCATAGTGAATGTAAGTCCCTGACACTAATGAGTGGGCCATGTCTCCAGAGGCTCCATGTGCATCATTAAATCTGGACTTATCTGTTTTATCTGAGCCTAAATGTCCTGTTTCCTTCCTCTGAATCTACAGGGACCAGATTAGCTCATTCACAAAGTGCACTGGACTACAGCAGGGGCAGCACTGGGTCTCATTTGGTCACAGTTTAGACTTGTATTTATTGTAGAAAAGGTGAAGATATTGTGTACTTTAATAAGTATTTCTCTACTTTTTGTTCCTATAGTGTAATTCAACAAAGGTCCAAGTTCACCAGTCCTCTATATAAGAACTTTTAATTGTACTGCAAGTCTTAAATCCATGGCTTCAAATGAGGACCAAAAACATCGCAAAACACTTTCAGATCCTACTGTTACACATTTTGAAATGGTAACAGTCCTTAATATCAGGAAATAATGTCACTGAAACCCAACAAACTCCAGGTACTCAAAATAGTTTTACAATTACATGCATTTACTGCTCTTACTTCATGTGCTAAGCTAATTCTTTAGTCCTGAGGCAAACTGATGGAAGTGAGGAACCAGGGTAGTGTCTTACCCAAGAACACAACTTTTTTTTTTGTTCACTTGTCTCATGGCTGGAATACAATTGCTATTGATAGTTTTGGATTTGACAGATAAATTAACTTTGTTGTATGGAATAGATACATGTAGTAATAATTTTATTTATTCTTTCATTCTCATGTACTCTTATTTAAACCGAAACCATGACTCACTCCTTTCACTTCTACTTTACCCAAATCCAAACTCAGTCTCCTTTCTCTCAAAAATTAAAAATGCCTTTGCTTCTCTCTTGTCGCCATGTTTCTGGTTGCCGTGGGAAACGGAGGACGTTTTAGACGGAAGGCTCTGATTGGTCACAGCTGGACCTAAGTCTTTTGCTTCTTTCTGAGTTTAGCTGTGAGAAAAGTAAACCTTCCCAGTATTCTGAATGTCTCTTTTGGACAGTTCATGTGTTTGTACAAAAGGGTCAAATGTTAGGGACACTTTCAGATTAAACACAAATGAAAAAAAGTCTATGGGGTTGTGTAGACTGAGTGAGTGAGTTTTAAATTGACAGTGTCTTGAGATAATCAACAGAAATTTGAGAAAAAAGAAAGATGAATCGATTTGTGAGCAGAAATAGTACTCAAATGCATGTTAAAGACACATTATAATGATATAATATTAGAGGGCATGAAACAAGGCACTGCAAAACAGCTTTATAATTACAATAAAATGTACTTGTACACTGCAAAAAAGTAATACCTACAAGACTTTAACTTTGATTCAGGCTTTCTGAATCAAAGTTAAAGTCTTGTAAGCCAATCTTCCAGCCAGTAGTTGTACACCTAAATAAAGCTAACCTAAATAACCAAAGTGAAAATTCCTACTCTACAAGCAGATAATTTAGCTTGAAAAAAAAAAAAAAAAAAAAAAAAAAAAAGAAAAAAAAAAAAGAAAATGTATCTAAAATAAACAACAGATATGAAATTAAGATTAACTACTACAGTCATCCACTATGGCTACAAGTATTAATCAGTAAAACTGTCACTTGTTGACTATTGCAATAATTATAATTGTATTTTGATTGTTGTTATGGTTACACCAAATAGTTTTTAGCTGCTGCCATAGACTGTATAAAGAAGTGGACTAAGGGAGTGTGACTCTCATAGTGTTCAGCTCCAGTCAAATGAAACTCATTGAGGTTGACAGTTATAGGGGCTGATTTGAAGCTGAGTTCCATATTTGGAATTCCGACCACGAGTATCATAGTGACCAAAGAGCCAATCCAGAGCCAGGTTGTTGAAGATAATGCCTATTCCCGTCCACACCATTGGTTTTGCAGGGAGCAGGCCCTTAGCAGCAGTGTCAGTCAAACCTGTTGTTAACGCTGGGGGAGCGACCTCGGGGAAAGAAGACAAGGAGTTGTCTGTTATTAATGCTCATATCTTGATATACCGACAAAACAGCTAAATAATGAGAGCTGGTTAATATGAACATTTTAAGATTAAAATGATGAGCCTGACAGCAGGAGTTACAGAGAGAGGGCCCATGATTTTTTCAATAGAAAGAGAATTGGAACTGTGGAGCTGGAAATGTGCCCATGCTTACTTCCTATTTGGAACGTGGCAGCTAGCGGGTTACCTATGGTTGCAGCCCTAATGTTAACTGTCAAACACACATTTGATTTGTGAAGAAGTTGGATAGAGTGAGTGTCTATTTTGTTTTGTATGAAACAGCACAAATAAGCCTACTAAGAATAAGACAATATTCTTAGTCTTATTATGGGAAACTCCTCCTGGTTGGTAGGTAACAGGAAGTGTAAACTCTGTGACCCCAGGGAAAAGGTCATGACCTCAGTGACCCTGAGCTCTGTGTTGTTTACAGACTTCACTCTTCAACAAGACAGTGTATTGTTGTGTTTACAATTAAACACCAGTAAACAGCACAACAACATGTATAAATCCAAACAACCAAAGTGACTACACAGCGCAAACTAGTTAGGCCAACTTAATCATTGAACTAACCATCCAAACAAAGAGGAATAGGCATGGGATGATATTCAAAATTTTGTGTAACAATTATCAAGAACAAAATAATTGCAATTAACAACACTATCACAATAATTATTAAAACATCTATTAAACTAAACTGACTTTTCTGAACTTTTGACCATGTTATAATTGTTTCCCCATCACCAATTACTTACCTGAAATTTGGAGTGAATCGTGCCTGCAACCTTTAGTCTCTTATTTTCAACATGCTATTCTGACGATCAACTCCCGTTTTCACCATCACCAGTCTACGCCTACTGCTCTGTACTTACTTTGTTCTTCAGTTTTATTTTCTTAATCAGTTATACGCGCAGGAATCTGCAGTGTTGTGTGGTCATTTTGGTACAAATGAAAAAAAAATGCAGCTGGCTAGTGTGATGTGCATCTATCCTTAGGACATTTAAGGCAGCATTGGCTCCCATTGGGCACTGCAGTTTTCTAATGCAGAAGTCAGAGGATTTAAAAAAAAAAAAAAATTAAGCTGCTTTACATCAATATTGTTATTTAAATCTCTAAATTATAACATAATGATCCATGAATGTCACAGATTATAACTATATAGCAGACAAGAGCATAATATGTCTTCTTTAAATGTTTTTGCCAGATGGATTGCCTCAGTATTTTCTGTATATTGTGATCGGGATAATGCCCTCAAAACCAGCCTATAATGAAAAATTAAAATTCACAGATTGGTAGTAACTCTTTATAGAACAGACAATGGCTTCTCTCCTTACTGATACTGTGCTTTTGTGTTGGTTTTTGCAGTTATAATTGGTCTGTTCTCAGCAGGTTGTTGGATGATAGTATCTGTGTCCAGTTTTTCTCTCTCTGCTCTAGTGTCCTGCGGGGAAACCACACACAGGAGCTTTGGCACGCTCCTCTCTCTCTTTTACTCGCACTCTCTATCTCTCCATTTGTCCCTCTCTCCTCTCTCTACCCCATCTTTTCATGTATCTCTCTCTCTCCCTCCTCACTCTTCCCCCCTCTCTCCCTCCTCTCCCAAACCTTTTCACACCCCTAAATCTTATCTGGTCCCGCTCTCCCCTCTCACTTTTTTCTCTCCAATCCTCCCTTGTTCTTTCTTTACCTACCCCCTCTCTCTTCTCTCCTTTTTCCTCCATCCATCCCCTCCCTCTCCCCCTTCTCCCACATCTCTTTACACCCCTCAGTCTTTTCCCTTTCCCCCCTCTCTCTCTTTCCATCTCCTACAACCTTCAGTCTCTTCTCCCTCTCCTTCCCTCTCAGGTCCCAAACGTCTCCCTCTTCACACACTCTCCCCCTCTATCCCTCCCCCATCTCTTCCTCTTCTTATCTCTCTCACTGTCTCTCACCTCTCTTCCCCCTTTTGTCTCTCTTGCTCTCCTCTCTCTCTCACCTCCCCTGCCTCCCCTTTCTCTCCCGTTTCTCCCACTTTCCCCTTCCTCCTCCTCTCCTCTTTCTCTCTCCCCCTTCCTTCCCCTCTTCACACCGTCCGTCTTAGTGCTATACTGTCACGTCCCGCTGCATCATTTTCCATTCTCAGGTTTTGGAGGGAGTCATTTGTGAGGCTCCCGCAGAGAGGAAACGTCGCTCTGAGACAAACACAAGATCAGCAGCAAATTCAGCCAATGATATCACATACTCCCTATCGCTCTGTTTTTTTTTTTTCCTTTTTTACAAGTCACTGCTTTTTGCATTATTCATATCAGATACTTTAACATAACCACTGTTAAGTTCATGCTGTATATTTTGTGTTCAGATTTAGTTTCAAAAGGAGGGCTATGCAATTAACTGAAATATGATCTATCTATCCATCCATCAATCAAACCTCAGAGAAAGAAGGCGCCTGATGTGTCTGTTATTAATGTTCATATCTAGATTTACAGACTAAATTGCGAAATAAACCCCAGGATCATGTAGTTGGTTAATGCAAACAAAATGACAAGAATAGAATATAATAATAGTTCAATAGAAACAGAATTGGAACCAAAGGAGCCAGAAGGGTGCCCATACTCACTTCCTATTGGGAACATGGCAGCTTTGTTTATATATGTAGGCTATAGTCTACTAGCCAGGCTGGCGCCACCTAGTGCCTCTGCTCAATTTCATTTCTCTCCAGCGACTACGTCAGGAATCGGAATACCCTAGATGGGTATTCAGCAAAATCAGCGAAGAGCCATACATTCTGTGTTGTCAATGATTCCCAAGATCAAGGATTTAAAGTCGGTATAAAGACAGTATTTGGTGAATTTTATCAAAGGGAAAGACATTATTGCCCTGATTCCAAAAGGATCTGGGAAAATCTTAATATACCAGTTAGCCCCATTAGCGGTGCATTACATACGTCATGATCAAATAGCAGCGATTGGTTAAATTTAAAAAAGTACCTGCCTACTGTCGAGCGAATGAATTCTAATACTGTGAGGTCAGACGGTTTCTATGAAGTGAAACCGGCTTATGAATCAGGCTAATAGTCTGCATCTAATCCTCAAATACTAAATGTACATGGTTTGAAGTAGAGTTGAGATTGTTTTCAGGTAAATACACACATTAAAAATTTTTTATATTTTAGGAACGCCAATAACCAAAAAAGGGCATTCTATATCTCTATCTATTAATCCTGATATTGTTTTGTATTTATTGCTATCTTAAACTGTGCTGGTTTAGTACTTGTTGAGTTCTTAGTCAGATCTGCATTGGCTTCTAAACTGTCTACTCTAAATAATATGTTCAAAGTTCTGATTTAGACATATTGGTCCTTATATAGTCCTGGTTTTAGTGCTAGTTTAGACTTAAGGAATCTTAGTTTAGTCCTAGTTGAGTTCTGGTTCAGACCTGGATTACCTTTTATATCTCAATGTTTAAAGTCCTTCTCCTCTGAGCGCTCGTCCTGCTGCAGTCTCCTCCTGAACAAAAGCTCTTTTTTTATAGTGAAATAAAAGCTCCGCTGGGATTGACTCAAAGCGCTTAGAGCCTGTGGGACCAGCTCCACTGTCTACTCTGCTCCAGGCAAAATCAACTCACCTCCAGATTCAGAATACACGCTCACTGAGATCTATATTACTTCCATACAAAGACCTGTTTACCATACGATAATTTTATAGTGGAATAAAGGCCTAATAATATACAACCAATATACATCATCAAAATCAGATAGCTCAATAATTAGACCAGATTTTTGGTATGTATTGCACAAAAGAAATGTGATAATCAAAAACTCCAGTTAATTTGTGGATTGTAAGAATAACTGGTGTCTTTGGAAAATCAGATAATGGTCCTTTTTGATGTCCATGTAAATATAGCCATGGTCAAACAAAGATTTATACACGTTGGAGTAGTTCATAAAGCAAGATTAAGCCAAAGCCTGCCTTATTTGGGCAATCCAGGCTCATCAAATCCACAATTCCGTTCCATTTTAGATTTGTCTCTAACAGTGTCCAAAGAAACATTTTAATCAAAAGTATTAGCACGTGCATCCCCTTATCCGTGTTAGATCACTTTCATCTTATGTCTTACTCATCAAAAAGACACAAATTATATACAAACCTAAAGCCATTATTTTATAAAAATTATCTTGCACCCGTACTTGTGTCATACTTCTATCATGCTCTTTAGGATCATTGTTAATCATTTCAAATACTGAAGCACTTATAGGGCTCTATCTTGGTGCAATTGTTAATGGGGGGGCATGTCCAGGTGGGGCTGTACTTGTTTGCTGGAGGCTGGAGTGGGACAGGTACACATATGGGGATGGCATTTGAACTAATCTGTGAATGCTGTGGCATTTAAAATCACTGCCAGTGTCTGCAATCTTTGGTGGGGAAGGGTCTCGCCCGGAGAGTAAATCAGTATAGGATCGCCATTGCATCTCTTGCTGACTGCTTGCATTTTTGTCTCACAGCATTGCAGGTGTCCACTGCATTTGGTCCCAAAGAGGCCAGCAAATTATGGAATATGGTTATTGTCATATAAATGCATGTGTATAAACGTAGAAGGAGTTGCCACGCCATGTGCAGTACCCTGCAGACAGGGTAAGAAAACACACTTGAGGATAGTGCTGTAAACGGACTCATGTGAATGAGCAGCTTTTGTACAGATCCAGATCAAAACAAATCATGGCCGTGTGAGGCGGGGGTGCTGGTGAGAGCAGCCCTCAACCAAACTGTAGAGCAATGCTAAGTCGATGCATGGAGTGGGTGCAGGACAGTACTCTGCTGCGGGAGGGCATGAGCACGGCACACGCATCATATATTTAAAAATCAAAGAAGGTTTTTTTATGCATTGAATATGTAACACATAACGTTTTACAATAGACTGGTACGATATTTATTTTTATGATGCTGGCAATTCACTAAACATGCCAGACCACACCCTCAGTCTGCTCCGCTCCACCTGATATTTAGGCACAGCACACCTCTTGTTTAGAGCTCCACACTTGTGCTCGCGCAAAGACCAGAGGCAAGATATGGCCCATAAAATAGGCTTATAAGTGCTGTGACATTGTTTTTGCGCTGGTTTGGAGTCTGTTTCAGTGGAGGTTCAGTGGATTCTGGCTCATACATCACAGCTGTCTGTGCCTCCTCTTTCTCTAACTCCCATCAAAGTGCACCCATGTAAGGGATTTGATTGGCTAATTCTCGTTATACGTGAAGAATTCTGTTACAGCTTTACATTTACGCACAGCAGGACAAGCTCCACACGTGCACCAGGAAGGGGTCGAGCAACTTCTTTTGCGGCATTAACTAGGCTATGTGCTCAGCCTACTTTCTGCCAACAGAGTGACCAAGAGAGTAGGAGAGAGGTCGCCTCTTTCCCCTCTCTCCTGGGTTCTGAAATCTCAAATCAAAACTATTGTCCAATGTCCATGCACGCTATGCCTCCTCTCTTAATTAGTCAAATAATAAAAAACAACAACTGCGGCACATTTTAAGATCATTTTCAGGTATGTCATTGCTCCACTGATCTGGCCTTCCCAGAGTCACCGGAAGCACAGTGGCTCTGTACCTGATTTCTACTGTCTTAAATGTGAAAAAGAAAAGTAGTTTTAGTAAATTTTACAGCTTGTAGCGGTCCAGCATTTCAAGCATGTACATACACAGTACTGAACATTTATTTTCTATTGTCATTTTGCGGTCATTGTATTATAATGCAATGTGACTGCTTCTGTGTAATAAATTAACTAAAACTACACCTTAGTTGTTCAAGTGTTCAAAGAGCATATACAATCACTTAGTTACTCACAGTCTGGATAGGGCTTCATTCTTCTGAAACAGCAGCTCAGGGATTTGTGTCAGACGGTTCCTGTTTATTCGACTGTAAAAGGACAAAATCAAGTTAAAAACTGTCATAATAAATACAAATTTAAAAATTGAATAACAGGCACTTACAGTCTCTCCAGCTCTTTCAGATCGTCAAAGGCCCCTCGTTCCACATTAGTGATCTGGTTCTCCATCAAATGTCTACAACACAGAATCAATACACAAGTTATGGTACCACTTTATAATAACTACAACTTAATTAGCCTTAATAAAGCATGAATAAAGATTTAATTAAGGGTCCTATATTACACATAATTGACTCTAATGGATTGAGCTTTAAGTTATGTTATAATGTTGTTACCTCCTCAAAAACATACCTGGAGTTGCGTTCTGTTTCACTCACATATGAGGGAGTAACCATTTATTATTAGTAGTCTCTTAAACCTTTTAATTTTGGATATTGGCAATTCCAGGGCTGAAATTATACAAATGATTCTAGTAAAAGTAGAGCAGAATTTATATGCTAAATATACGTAAATGAAAGATTACAAAACTAGTATGTTTTTGATGAGGAAACAACATTAAAATGTCTCAGAAAAAGCATAATATGGGCCCTTTAATAATTAATACATTGGTGTGGTTACTAAAAAGTGCTATCCAGTTTAAAAGTAACATCACTGACAGTTTTAATTTTATCCCTTCATGTTAGGAAACAGTGGTGCAATAGGACAGTGTGTCTCGGGCCTAGTGAGCATACTGCCATTGTGTCCCTTGGCAAGACACTATGCCCTCATTTAAAAAAACTTGATAACTGTTTTGTAGAACTTTAACAAGTACATACAAGTGTTACATTAATGTCTACATTTTTTTTCAAATACAAAAAAATGTATTTGTAAATTCTATACAATTATTTTAAAACGTTTAGTTTTTGCTGATATTAATACAACAATTTTCATCTGTGTTTGAATGTACTGGATATAGCAAAAACTAGGTCTAATGTTTATTTTTTAACATTTAAAGGTGCACAGTGTAACTTTTTGGTTGGGGATCCATCAATTGCTTGGTTCTATGGACATGTCTGGAATGTTCCACAGTATGACATTAAACAGCTCTACCTTATATTTATTCAATTACAGGTGGTTGTGTAGCTCAAAAATAGCTAAAAAACAACAACAAAAAAAACAAAACAAAAAAAACAGGCGTTCTGACTGTGAGCGAGCTTGCCTCTGCACAGATCTGATCCATAACTTGGTCTGGTTTGGTCTCCATGAAGATAGAAAGGTTTAATACCATACTGCGAAACAAAGAATGTGATGGACCCTCCACCAGAAAAGTTACACAAAGCACCTTTAAACCAGAATTCTTCATTCTTGTCCACTTTATTCCTCATGGACAGATAACCACTTATAGACTTCAAGGAGTCCCCATTGGCCACTATTATAACATAAAGCACATTTTCTGCACTTAATGAAAAGACTCGTCAGACAGGCACACAGTCGCTGGGAGCAGTACATTAGCCCTGCCTGATCCGTGACAGCTGCCATCATGTGAAATTAACTCCACAATGAGGCGAGACTAAACCAGACACGATGCTGCGTCCCTCGCCGCTAATTAAACAACATTAATCCAATTAGACCTAAGCACAAAGGCCCAGCCGAGAGACACTCCAAAGGAGGAGGAGAGGAGGCTGTAGGCTAACGGTGGCTAACGTTAATCCCAGCCGCCAGATGTGATTAGCCTGTGTTTCCAGGTCAAAGGTCACAGTTAAATCTTGTCCCAGATGTATTGTTAAAAGGATGTTGTACAAGACAGTGAAGGCCAACAGGGTGGAGAAACTGGATTTCTGGTACAAGCAGCATCCATTAGTCGTAGTAGTGTAAATACTATTAATACCATTATTGTGTCCCTGGGCAAGACACTTTCCTCAAATTGCCTAAACAAAGGTAGTGTGTAATTATCCTCTATGTTCTTAGATAGCAGGTCAGAGTGAATGACAAATACATGTATTCAGACTTGCAACTTAAAGTTGCACTTTCTAATATTCTGAGGGGGGCCTGCCACCGGCATGTCTCCATTGAAAAGTTAATACTATAGAGGTCTCCAACCTTTTTCCTTTACATAATGAAAATGCCAGAGAGCTACTAGTTGTAGCAGTCACAAAAAAATGAGTATATATAAGCCTTATATATTAGTTAGATGCGTATAAAACATAAACCATTATCCATTTATTAGTGTACAGTGCTAAGAGGCATTTATTTAATCAAATTTTACTTATTCAGCATTATACATGTAGAAAGGGATTCAGAAATCTCTTGGTGAGCTATTTGGAAAGGGGTGAAGAGCTACCGGTAGCTCCAGGGTGGAGACCCCTGGACTATAATAATCACATTTTTTTTTTCAGATATACCTTAAAAAAAACATTGAATGCATTCTTACTGTGAGTGGGCTCACCTTTCCACAGACCTGACTTGTAACTTCACCTAGTAGCAACACTAGCAGTTGGCGAACTCTTCCTTAACAGTTACATAGAGCACCTATAAGACTGAAGTCACTTACAGCACTCTGAGGTGTTTGAGTCCAGAGAAGTCAAACTTGGTGATGACTGTCAGGTTGTTCCCGTTCAGATCTCTGAAAAACAACACAGTCAGGAACAGACGTTTAGTTTAAGTGAAATGTGTGAAATGTGCTAAAACGTTTTAGCACTGAAAATAAACTAATGAAATACAATCAGAATGCATATCAGCAAGAGAATTTACAGAAAGCCCCAAACAATCTGAGAATCAAACCTTGGATCTTTTTGTTGTGAGTTGAGAAAGTATTGTTTCTTGTAATTATTCAAGGCATTTAACAGAAATATAAAGCCAAAGTTCACCTGTTGTGTGATGTTAAAGACAGATAAAACAAGGGCTATGGGCGAGGCTTAACCCAGTGACCTCAAGACACGGTTTGATTGACAGCAGTGAAAAGGATGATGTCATGGTTCCCACGGGTCTCCCACAGCGACAGGTAAATGGACACTAGTGTGTCCATTGAATGACAATGACATTTTAAGCAAAAAATATAAAATAAGCCAACCTTTTTCTTTGCTTATTTTAGAGGTCCATTATGTAACTTTTCTGGAGGTGGATCAGCCACATAATGTTATTCCTATGTTCCAACAAATAGCATTAAATTATAACCTATGATCTCTCTCCATTGAGCCCAAAAACACCCAAAACTGAATACATATATGTTAGAGAAGTTTAACACTGTAGAAAATTCTAGGCAAAGCAATAAAATCTCCATGGAAACAACCAGGTGGCGGACGCCCCAACAGAAAAGTAAGGCAACACAGTGCACTTTCAAGCAATTTCAAATATCCAATATTTATTAACATTGTAATAAGTAATTTAAAATGCACTGGTTATAGTTATGGTTCCAGCATGTGGTTAAACAAGGTTCATAGTTGTAAATCTCAAATAAATATAATTATTTTCATGCTTTTAAATGTGGTAAAATATGGGTTGTTCTAATAACAAAAGCATAACATGTGCACATAGATACACAATCATTCATACTAGTAGTCTTAATGTTGCACATTCGGTTATTGAACAGGTTACAAAAACACGCTAAATTGATCATTATTAACTCAGAGAAAAAAACTCCACTAAAAATAAACCATTGATTTTCTATTTCTCCCTCTGCACTGTCGCCGTGGAGATGTACAAACTGTGTGGATCATGTTTCAGATACAGTAAAAGGCGGATGGTGCTGACCTTGGCCTGTCCTTTGAACAGAATAGAGTCCTCATACGTATGTGAACCGGAGCCAGGGACACATCTGCAGACGCCATTGTTGTCTTTGTCACAGGTTTGAAAAAGTCCAGCCCAACACAGAGGACAGTCATTTGTTCACGTCTAATAGGGACAAAACCACCAGGCGTTTCCCCGGGCGACCATGAGTTATAGATGAGACCAGCGTAAGTAGTTAAAGGTGCACTATGCGACTTTTCCGGCACGACAGTTTTGCCTGAAATTTCCATAGCTTTTTTTGTTAGTGTTAAAGATATTTCTATGTCAGGATGGTTTGTGCCATATTGAAGAACATTCCAGACAAAGCAATAATATCGCTATGGAGACATGCCGCTTTACCACAAAAGTTACATAATGCATCTTTAAATGAAATAGTGCAAATAAGACTCAATAAATAATCCTGATCCAAAAAAGATAATCTGAATACTAAGGAACAATAAAACAAAACTAAAACTGAAAAACTATTTTTGTTTGGCAATTAGTGACAGGACTTCTGGCTCCTTTGTGGGAGTCTTTTAGATATATTCACTTCAAAGAGCCATTCAAAATGCTGGCTCTTTTAGTATTTATTTATATGATAGAAGCCAACATGAGAACTCATTTTATCTACAAACTAATCAGAGAGAAAAAGGCTAGGGTTTATTTAAAATGGTTCAAACTGAGAGCGGGAGTGTGTTTATCCTTTGAAATGATGAAAAATATGTTTTTTGTACACAAAGCTCTCGTGTTGCCTACTCTACTTCTATGCTGTCTCTTGTGTTGGTTCAGTTAAAATCAGTATAAAAATGCGTAAAAAGTAGAAAGAAAAAGATTAAGTTCTTTTAAAAAATGAGACCCGATTCCAATAGTTCCCACTAAGGAAAGATTCAAAAGAGCCGACTCACTACTGGTAACTTCTTAGTTGTTACAGGTAATGTAGTATGTCTATCTTTCTCATTTCAGCATCCATTAGTCTCTCACTCCTCCTCCCTTTCCTCTCTTTCTCTCCATCCTCCCCTCTCTAGCCACCCTGCATCCTCGAACCATTCCCTTCTCTCCCTTCCCCAGTCTCTCACTCTTCCTTCCTCTCCCTCTCTCTCCTCTCATCATTCTGTCCTTCAGCAGACCCCCCCTCCCTCCTCTGCCTCCTCTCCCTCTATCCCTCATTGCAGGCTGTTTTGAAGAGCTTGTGGTTTTAATGAGCTGTTGTTTGTAAGAGTCACCACTCGAGTGCGGGCTGACCCTTGACCTCTGCACACGGCACTAAACCAATTATCCATGCCTCGTCTCCGCAGCACAAAACTGCAGGCCAGAGGAAGGAGGGAAAGACGTTACTGTGCTGGTACAGAAATACTGCAATACAACTGGAACTGATAGCAACAAGAAGTACTCTCAGAGAAGGCCACGATTAACAGTTAGGGAAACAAATATAGTTTTTAAGTAGGGATGCATCAATACAATACTGGCATTAGATACTGGAGCTGATATTGACATTTTTCATGGATCAGTTTCAAAATATCGGTTCAATCGATCCCATTTTAGTCTATAAACTAGTGTAAAAACACTATTTGTTAGCCCCAAATGTCTCTCAATATTAACCTTGCATTTTTCAAAGCTGTATCATGGTTACTTTAAATGATTTTCAGGCTTAGTATATATCAAGTGTACCTTTCTTTGCACTAGTGGGGAAATTTTTTCATAGTTCCAGTGTAGTATTAGGCCTATGTAATGACATTTGAGTTGTAGATGGTCCATTAATTAACTACTGTACTGACTACTGTAGTGTTTCATTGAACTGTTTATATATTACTGACCACATTATGTTTAAGAGTAAAAATTTTGGCATTTCAAAACTGAGCTGATTTCTGCCTGCCTCTCTACGATACTTCACCATAAATGTCATCAAAACAAACCAGTTCACCTAGCAAACAGAACATTTAAAATATGTGGTGACTAAAATGCCGATAAAGTACATGTCTAAGTGTTTTTGAAAATCAATTCAAAGAGCAATATAAGTACAGGGCAGTGGGGTGGGTGAAAACAGGAATTTTCAGAACAATAGCGCCTCAAATGCAGGACAATAGAGATTACTCAAACATGCATGAATCAGTCAAAAACAACTTTGAGTTAATGATGAGGGGAGACCATTATAACATGGTTAAAAGCTCTTGACATTTGAGAACTAAAAGCAAGTGAACATAAAACACATGCAGCAATGATATCCAAACTTCAACAGCAGATGAAGCAGTGAGAGCACTGGAGCTGAATGGTATATGAATGAAATATGTCATTGTCATTTTCTGACAAACACATAATTTGCGACTTTTGTCTTTTGTTCATTTCTTTAAACTTGTCCAGAAGTATTGACATAAAGAATCACATTTCAGAACATGTTTGTACAAATCTAAACTACAGGATTAGCAGATTATTATGCAAAACAAGACAGGATGTTTTGCTGTTTATGGAGGAAGTTATGGCATTTAAAAACATGCAGCAATTTTCTAACTATTTAGAGTTGCAAGATTAATCACAGTAGTCAAATCAAGAGTGAATTATGATTAAATAAACTTGCAAAGACTTTTGCTTGACTAAATACCAAGATTTAGATGACAAATTTTGCCTAAAAAATTGTTGTGGACTAAACTGTACAAATAATCACTTTCTAGCGCTTTGTCCACATCTTTATATAAACCATAATGTTCTCTCATCTCCTCCATTGTCCCCTGACAATTTCTCTCTCTGTTTTATTTGCTGAGAGCTGCTCTGCCCCTCATCACTGCACTAGGACGTGCACTAATATTAGAAACAGCAGGTAGAGGGGGTCTCAAGACTCTTTGTTAAAAGGATGTTTTGTAAGATTCTTTTTTTTTTTCTGCACACACACAATAAAATAATAACTAATACTGCAATTGTTTGAGAAACTGCAGGCAATTTATTTATGGTTGTCATAAGTCAAAAATTGACTCTTGTGAGCTTTAAACCATGTTGTTACCTGGAGTTGTGTTTTGTTTCATTCACATATGTTTGCATTACCCTTTATTATTAGGCTGTCTACATCTCCAAAATTCCAGGACTGAAATTATTCAAATGATTCTAGTGAGGGAGTATGGAGTTTAAAAACACAGTGGAGCACTTCCTACATTACCACATGACAAAAAACGGTGGAACAGACTGTCTCAGTTTGGGAGAAGAACTCAGTCTAAATCTGCAGAAATTGTGTGTCGAACATGCATGAATGAAACAAAACACAAGTGCAGTTCTGTTTTTGGTGAGGACACAACATTATCACATAGATCGGAGAATAGTGTAATATGGGCCCTTTAGCGTAATATGGGACATAGAAATGCAAAAGGGAAGGGTTGAGAATCTAAAATGAAACTTAAGACAAAATTTCACACAAATATTCATCATCATTTTACGAGTTATAGAAAAAATGTCAACCTGTACTAAAGTAGTTGTATTTTTATGCTGACAACCAATGCCACTGATGTTCCAATTCCATTTTAACTCACTATGCACATCTCACGCAACAGAAGGACAAACTAAGAATGACACATCAGAGAGATGATACATGAAAGCCTCTCACAATATTAACAATTCAACAATGAACAAAATTACTTCCAATGTATTGTCCATTCCTACAGATACCTTGCAGTTGATTTCACCAACATTCCTTGGGGGTGTGATGCTAATGTGGGCGCTGCTCTCTCTGAGTCTTTGGTAGATTTCAACTTATTTTAACACAAGACCAGCAACAGGTGGCCTATTTGGAACTAGTGAGCTGATTTGTGTTGTTAAATAAGTCTCTCTCAAAAATGATACATTAGTCCCTCTCACCTTTTTGTGTAAAATCAATCA